CAAGTGGTTCCTCTGCTACAACAGCAGCCACTTTAGCTTTCTTCTGAGGATTGGGCTTGCCATTTCCTCGTTTCCGCTTTTGTACCCTCACTGCTGCCACTCGGACTACAGTAGGTTCCCTGGACCAACAATCAGTCCATTTGTGTCTGGACTTGCCGCACTATTGCACAAGTCAGTCTATGCACTCTACCAATAGGGAGTACCGGAAGGTCATACCTTCAAGCATACTTCTGCTTTCCTTCTTTCTTCTAGGATATCCCCGGGATACCCTTTAATTCCACCGCTTTATCTTTGGAACTTGCTTCCTTCTGAGGTTTTGAGGAGCTTGCAGCTTCTCTCTTTCTCTTGGGGTGCCGTTCCTTCTCAGCAGGAGGGTCTTTCTTGGTCCTGGCGGGTGCTTTCTCAGCTACTACCGTCTGGTACCTCTTGTGGGTGTGTCCTAGATCTCTTAGAGCAGCTATCCGCTCCACCAGAGACTTTAGCTTGGGGGTAAAGAGAGCCCAACTCATGCCTAGGTCCAGAAGGAGGGAACTCAGGATCTTATCATCCACTAACTGACCCTCGTAGCCAGTCTTCCACATCAGCTGAATAATGCTATTCAGGAAGGAGTCTATTCCTCCTTTAGCTGTGTGGGTAAGGGTATTCCATTGGGCTACAGCATCATCCCTAGAGATGGCTTCGCCAAAGGCTGCTCTGAGAGCAGCCACAAAGGAATCCCATCGCTTCCATCTCTCATCCAACACCACAGGCATCCCAGCTATTCGGTTGGCAGAGGCTTGGTCAATGGAGTTGTGGTAAGCTTCATACCACTTGACCGGAGCATCTCCTTCCATCAGGTTGCCAGCATAACGGATCCTGACCTCTTCGGAGGTGAAGGACTGGCTTTCAATGGAGAAAACGTTCTCACATCGCCTGATGAAGGTCTCCACGTTGTCTGCCTTTCCATTGAACTTGGCCGGAGGGGGTGCCTTGGGTTCTCGAGCCCTGGAGGCAGCGGTAGGGTGTGAGGGGGCCGGAGGTCTCATGAACTGGGCCATGGAGGCCAGAAGCTCCTTTTGCTGCTTCTCCAGCTTCTTTCTGAGGTACCTCCGCCATCCTCTCCTGTCTCCATCTTCAGGCTCCGAGTCTGAACTGTCTGAGCCCCTACCCGGATTGGGAGCGCCATCAACCGGGAGAACTATTCCATTTCCTCCACCATTCCCCGCTGGTACTGGGTTCTGATTTTCTATACCGGGGTTTCCTTCCGGCTGGAGGTTCCTCCTAGGTGACTCCAGGGGTGGTGACCCTCTGTGGGATTCCAGGGACAACCCCTGACGAACCCAGGTGGGAGGAAGCCCAGAGGGACCACTCCGGACCGGTGTCTGGGAGTATTAATCGTCGTCTCCTATAGGTTGTCGGGGGGGCCTTGCTAGGCCACCTGCCAACGGGCTCGATGGGGCTCTCTGAGGAGGGAGAGGTGAGCCTACAATAGCCGCTGGCATTATCAGGGGAAGAGTCCTCTGCCTGATGGACCTGACTGGAAACGCTGCAAAGGGGTTCACCCTTTGGTGAAAGGTTCTTAGTGCCGCTCTGGATGAGGCCTTGGAGTTCTGCGGAGGAGCGGGGTTGGGGACAGGTGCTGGTGTGGGCATCCTGGCGATCGAAAGCCTTCCTTCATTGATAGCTCTCTGGATTTCCTCCAGAAAGTTAGGAGGCATGGCCGGGCTTGTCCACTCGATATCCTCCATATCGTCGGTTCCTAGGTCATCCTTCTGTGCATAGCTCTGAAGCTGTGCCTGGACTGAGGAGACCTGTTCTCGCATGTAGCCAAAGGCATCCCTGAGCAGGACTTCCTCCGCTTCTTGTCTTCCTTGCACCAAGGCTAGCACATTGCCGGCCTTGATGACTTCCTGTTGCAGGCTGTGCTTAAGGTAGCGCTGCAACTCCGCAAAGAAGTCCTGTAGGGTGACTTCATCGGTATCCTGCCAGGTGGGCTCACATCTGGGGATGTAGGACAGGAGCGCCGTCCTGGGCTTGTGGATCAACTGTGTCTGACCCTCTTGGAATTCTAAGGCTGCCGGTTGCCATTCAATCTGAAGAGGCAGTTGGGGAGCCGGGAGGGTGGACATGTTGGAAGAGGAAAGAATAATCTGAAGGTGATTTGAGCACTAAAGGTTATCTGTAACGGGGACAGCCTTTCCACGTATCGCTAGAATCCGATAGAAAGATGTGGCCGTGCAAGATAGAAATCAGGTTTAGATTATTCCCAAAGATTTATCGCTAATAACTCAATAATCTTTAAGGGCTCTGCTACCGGGTAGAGAATACTTGATAGTTCCTCTGAAGACTGGAGAAATCAGATAGTTGGGCGGGAAGGATCCTGAGTACTTATACTCCAAAGGATTCCATTCCGCTGCTCCTACTTCCTTACCAAGTTCCGGCGATGCCCTCTAGCGGAAGGGAAGCAATACCACCGCTACTCCGCTTCTCTCTAAGTGTTAGCGGGTGCTTCCGGTTCCGAAAGCAACCACCCTTAGTCAAAGCCTTTGTAACACCTGCAGTCTTGGTTGTCACACAACCGGGACCTGCATGAATGAGCTGCCGCTCAGGTGTAAGCTTAATCATTGCTGTAGAGCTCTTCGCTTATTGTAGACTTCCCAGGCATAGTCCCTGCCACTACAGGCAGACTCATCATGCTCAGAGGATGTAGAGGATCGCCGAGCACTCAGAGCTTCACTCTGGGTAGCCTTCTAGTCATTGGCGAGGTATAGACTCGTCAGTCATTACTACCATGAATAGATCCTCTTCCTAGCGCTCAGAATGTAGTTGCTCTGACAGCTGGTAGCTAACCACACTGCCGGTACTTGCATGTCACTGCGCAACTGGCTTCTAACAATAACTCTCAGCTTGTAACCGGGCCCTGTGTGTACTCATACGCCAGACAGTTGAAGTGGCTCCGTTACAAGTAGAGAGTAGAGCCCTTTGTAGTATAAGTACTCAAGACCATTCCCGCTCAACTGTACCAAATCCCCAAGACTATTACTATAAGCGGTAATAGAACTCTTAAAGATTATTGAGTCCCAGTGATCGTATCTCTGAGTAATCCGCAACCTGACATCTATTTTTTATCGCCGCACCTGTTCTATTGGATTCTAATGTCACATAAAACGTTTGCCCCCATTACAGATTGTAAATGTTGGTGAAGATCTCGGTTGGGCTAATGGATTTTGAGTAGTTTGTGAGTTGCCTAATGTAGACGCTGATTATTGTGAGGGTAGTGTGTACGTTGGAAGAGGTTGACATGAATAGGTTGGTTGAAATAAGGCCCCTTGTCTAGGAGGGGACCTCTGTTGCCGAATTGCATTACAGGAGGAGGTTGTAGATGTAAATGTAGGTGGATATCTTGTCATTGTCACGTGTTGGAGAGGGAGAGTATAGGGTGAATATGAGAACGTTGAAGAGTTTGCCTTTGAAGAAAGGGTATTTTTAGATTGCAATGATTCGGCCCTTTGCGACCGTAGTGGAAGAGAAGAGTCTGATGAAAACCTTATCCCTTCCAGCTCAGTTATATTGTATGATGAATAGAAAAGGGGTCAAGGGACTGTTTGGGTCTCCTAACATTTAAGCGTCGGAGAGGTTCATCTCGGCTACTGAAACCTAGCATATTTCAGTAATTTCTTTGTTTGTATGAGTGGAGGGGGAGCTGAAGGAGAAGTGGATGTGGCCTCCTGGGAGAGTGCCATTATTGACAGCATCCTGCCTTTGCAGGCCAATTTTGTGTGGGCATGAGGCGGTGAAGGAATCCATATTACTATCAATCAATCGATGTTATAATTTTTGTGCCAAGTAAATGCTAGCACAATTCGGGTACTAATCAAAGACCGTGCATCCGGATCAAGTGTAGAGTGAGTGTACCAAACAAATCGATAGCATCACGTATGTCAAATGTAGAAAGACAGGAAATAACCTGACCCGGCTCTCTCCACTGTAAGTACTTACCGTAAGTATTTGTCTACTCTATAGCCAGCTTAATCTTCCCCGCGTTATTCCCCGGTCGAGCAGGGACACCTTAGATCACCAATGATCACTGGCATGGAACATCATTGCCTGATTAGGTCTTTTCACCCTTCTGGCAGGTCGCAGCCGGCTTATCATCTCTGACAAAATGCATTCTTGAACAATCCTCATAAATGCGATTGGTGCATACTGGTCCGCAGGCGCACTTAAGCCTTCGGCTACCCCGAAGAGACTTGATACCAAACAATAGCTAGTTCGATGATCAGTTATCATCCACAAGAGAGTGAGTATTTCTCACCGAGCTCATTCTGGTTGTGTGATGTCGGTAGAATTCCTTGCGGATTGAAACCCGCCGCTTGTCCTTTTCGCATGTATCATGTACGCCCTTCTAAACGCCTGCGCGTGGACACTCCGAGAGGTCGGCGAACTCACAAAGCCGAAAACCCAAATATCGACATAGGTGAATTCTAGCAAGTCAAAATGCATGCCCACCGTTGATGTTGCCGACTGCCTATCATGCATGGTACATGTAGTTAAGCAGGCCGAAGCAAAGCTTACTGATCGGTACAATTGCCGAACATAGTAGCACAGTTACAAGTGTAACGGTCCGCTTACTTTAGTGCCCGACGGCAATCTGTCCGACTGGACTGTGGCTTATGTGACATCACGGTCGAAGGGAAACAAAAGTATCTAATCATCTGCGTCCCCTTACACCAACCTGTGCGAGATCAACGCATATGCAAGCCATGGTGTTATCTGTCCGTGCTTGCCCCGCATATCGTACATACCTTCCGCTCTCGCAGTGGCGGTCCATGTGCGATTAGTTCCTCGGGGATTGTAGGAGAGCCCGCAGTCCTTACCCCGGATAATGAAACCATTACAGTGACAGCCTGGAAAGCTTAAAATGAGGAATTCCCACCGGTTTGTCTCCGCTTGCTTGTCTTTTTCAAGCTCACTCCACAGAATTACAGTCCCTGGAAGTAGCGAGTCCGACTGCTTTAACCATGACCGAATTAAATTCTCACGCATTTTCCCTTGACGACAAAGAGGATCCCAAAAAAGCCGAATTCATCGATGATATCGACCCAGACCCAGATGCCGGCCTTAGTAATGAAGAGAGAGCAAGAATTGTGAGATTATGCTTTGGCGGCTTACACTAATAAAATGACCAAATTGCTTATGATTTACGAGCTATTCTTAGGATCGGGAGCTGGTACGAAAGCTTGACATTCGATTAATCCCTTGGTTGTGTGTTCTATATCTAGCTTCGTTCTTAGACAGTAAGTAAACTCAGTATCAATTGGTAGTTACTCAATAATTGTCCGGATCTTTCTAATACAATAATCCAGGAACCAATATTGTGTGTGCTTTCCTTACCAAAAACAAGCGTCTCTACTTCTCTTAGCCAAGCTTAATAACTGGCCAACAATGATTTATGAAACCTAAGGGAAGAGTAGTAGCTAATTTATCTTCACTACACAGGGAAATGCCAAAATCGAAGGTTTGGTGACAGATCTGAATATGACAGAAGGCCAGTACAATGCTTGCCTCACGATATTTTTTGTTTCTTACGTATGAATTCTTTAAAGGAGTACTACTTGCCCCTTTCTAACCCCCAAAATAGTCAATATTCGAACCTGTCAGTAATATACTTCTTAAACGAATGAGGCCAAGCATCTACATACCTCTGATCATGGTACTATGGGGCCTTTGTATGACATTTATGGGTTTTGCAAAGGGCTTTTCGGGCATGATGGCCGCAAGATGGTAAGCTTCCAGTACGACCTTGTGAATATAGTCTTTGATTCTTCATTACATATCTAACATCCGTATAGGTTTTTGGGTTTGACGGAAGCTGTAAGACTCCCTTCGTTGCATGATATTCATTTAGACATCAATACTTACCAAATATTCCTGCGCGGATCATCAGGGCCTTTTCCCGTGGGTATTCCAAAACATTATTTGAAGTAAACCGCGGAGCTTGCTAACATCCCGACAGAGGTGTTAATTATTACTTGTCATGTTGGTACAAGAGACGTGAATTCGGAATTCGAGCTGCTATCTTTGTAGGCTATTCATGCATATTAATTCTGTGCCAGAGATACCTAATTATCCTATAGTTTTCTGCTGCTGCTGTGAGCGGTTCTTTCGGTGGTCTTCTCGCCGCAGCTATTTCAAAGATGGACGGTATCGGCGGAATGAAAGGCTGGGCTTGGATATTTGTATGGCAACACACTCCTTCGGGGTTACAAAGGCTAACTAGATCTTTTAGATCCTTGAGGGTGTTGCTACTATATTTATAGGGGTAGCTTCCTTCTGGATTGTAGTCGATTTTCCGGATGATGCTCGATTCCTGAGCGATCAGGAGAGAGCCCGCGTTATCCGAAGATTGAAAGACGATCAGCAAAGCTCCGCTGGTCATGAAGACTTCAAGATGTCGTACATGTGGGACTCTTTAAAAGACTGGAAAACTTGGACCGGGATGTTGATTTATATGGGCGTTGATGGTAAGCCAAACCTAGAAGATTTCTGTGAGCTGTATTTGTCTCATATCGTACAGGAGCACTATATGCATTTTCACTGTTTCTTCCTTCAATTATTGCCGAGCTCGGATATTCAGCAACTCGTGCCCAACTTTTATCAGTACCCCCATATGCAGCAGCGTGTATTCTTACCGTTCTCATTGGTTGGGCAGCTGACCGCACCAATAAGCGTGGTATTTATAATATCGGGGTCTCCTTGGTCGGAATCCTCGGTTTCGCTATCCTATTAGCATCCAGAAATGCAGCTCTGAGTTACGTTGGCGTATTCCTCGGCGCTCTAGGAATATACCCGTGTATTCCAAACACAATTACCTGGGTGAGCAATAACGTGGAAGGGGTTTACAAGAGAGGTGTAACCTTGGGGTTCGTTATTGGTGAGTTTTCGCGCGCGGATATCCCGTTCCCAACTTTAACTGACATCTGATTAGGGTGGGGAAATTTGAATGGTGTCATGTCATCAAATGTGTACCGTGGACGAGATAAACCTCACTATACGCTAGGACATGCCATTGTATTGGGATACCTCGCAGTTGGTCTGTTGGGTGGTTCAATCTTGAATTATGTGCTTCTGCAACGCGAGAACAATAAGCGGAAGAATGGAGAAAGAGATGTTTGGGTTCAAGGCTTGGATCAGAGACAGATCGAGGAACTTGGTGATAAGAGGTAAGATCCATTATACGTCTGACGCTCGCTCTGGACTAGCGCTCACTGACTGATATCATAGACCCGATTTCATCTACACGATGTGAGCTTGGTCCAATCGGTAAACCGATCAGTGAAAGCCTTCAATTTAGGACCATTTTTACCCTCAGAACAGATATTATATAACGTATTTGTACATAGAGATATTATGATGATACCGTAACCAGGCAACATGCAGCTGAGGCACGTATATAGGGTCACAAAGCCTCACTCGCTGATTTGACCTAGCACATATGTATCTCCTCCTAGTAACTTTCCAAGAGACACCAGGCCGACCAATGTTTATGAAATACAAGGGTAGTACCCGAGAATATGACCAGAAGACTCAAAATATATTCCTTCATCATAGATAAAGAACTACATGTATACCTACATGCACATAAACCTATGCAAAGAAGTCAGACCCTCGATGAGACCATAGATACAGTTAATCAAAAATTCGTGAAGTGTTAGGATTCTGGCGGCCGTTAAAACATTCAATCGCCTCCAAATATACGACCACAAAATAATGGAGCCCGTATGATCCGTGCAAGCCAATTATAATAAACAGGGAGTCTAGATCAAAAGAATCCGGGGACCTTGCAGCTTATCGTTGTCTTCTTCCTCCAAAAGGAGGACCAACAACAGTGTGGGTACCCACGGATGTATGCCGCAGTTGGTATCGCGCTATTTCAAGTATTTACGATCTACATGTACTCGTAGATTCATGACGTTTCCGAACACGACCAATATTGCATGACATACAAAAAGGTGGATTTGGCGCTTTTTTGTATGGCATGCAATAGCAGTCGTGTTCGGAAACGTCATGAACCTACGAGTAGTCTATAGATGACAACTGTTCCCTTACAATGCATGGATCTGACAGATAATGACATGCAGAGACCCATACATGTATTTCTCTTTTTTACCACTAGTCTCACTGTACTTAAGTTTCCTCAAATGTGTGCGGAGCCACTTCACTGTTTAATTCTAAGCTGTTCAAGCTTTTTAGATGCTGAAGAGAGCCCCCTCATGTCTGTGTAGACATGACCATTCTTCGCCTACCAGCGTGGCCCAGAACAGACCTGTATGCATGCTGTTCCGTAATATATTGCAGGTACAGCCACTCTGCAAAAGTGTTCGTGATTCCGATTTCGGAGTGAGACATTTCTCCATATGTAACCGCGGCGGACCATCAAGAACCCCCAAGAGAAGACTTTCCCAGTGACCAATGGCGCCCAAATTATAAGATCAATGACCTATCTTCTTTTTATATATAGTCACAAACTATATTATATATTTTTCGTTGTTTTGAATCTCAGCTTTAATAACATCAGTATTACGGGTGCGCCACACTGCGCACTGACATTAAAACTATATCACGAACACTTTTGCTGAGTGGCTGTATATATTCTAATCTCAAACATGTAGACCGTGTGCACCTGTGTCGAGCATGCACCTGTGCCGAGCACCTTATAATAAAGGCAGCATTTTAGCCACCATTTGGAGCGGATCCCTAGAGATCAGATAAGATGCTCGGCACAGGTACATTCTCGGCACAGGTGCACACGGTCTATAAGTGTACTGCATGAGTAGCTTCTACAGCAGGAGCCTGATCGAGTTATAGCTATATTGTGGGATTGATAATCGGGTCCGCTAGACAAGAGCTCTCATTCTCTGTTTTTTTCTAAAGTTTCGGTGATCCCCAAAGTCAACGCCCTCCGGCTTGGGCGGGCCCGTGCAATTTCTCCTTAGGTTTATCATTTGAAGCCATGTATCGGTGCTGAAAGGGCATTAGCTATATACATAATATAGTTTTTTGGGCATAATCTCTCATTTTAAAACGACGATACTATCCCTTGGACGGATGAAAGTTGTCAAATTCGCGACCACACTCTTTCAGCTATCACTAGCCTGATGTAGTAGTTATTGGAAATTCTTGATTGGCTCTGTTGTTGTTGCCAACCGTAAAAAGCAAGATAATTCCCTTACTAAGTTGTGCACGGTCCAGGTCGCGAATTTGACAACTTTCATCCGTCCAAGGGATACGTAGATAAAACTATTTTATATCGGGGGTACACAAAGCACCACATATAACTACACGAAGCCAATATGCGATGTAATTCTACACCTCTATACATGTAGTGGTCCAATGCATACTTCTGAACGTGTACCTACATGTCGTATGATAAGGACTTATCGACCAGTAGTTAAGCTACTCCATGTAGGGCATGTGCACATAGCCGATAGTGGCAAATAGTGAATGTAACAGTAACTCAAAGATTTCACAAAATGCTGGTAGATAGTGAAACATTGGTACATGTACTTTGTATGTCCCTGAGCACACTGTACATGTTCGCCCAGCGATCATACATACGGTACAAGATGCCCTGGATCCGGTCATTACTGTAATGTATTATCAACTAACCAATTAATAGATCATACCGCACAATTAATGAATTATCAATCAATCAATCAATCAATCATACCGCTATTAAGTAAGTCGAGTGATATTGTATGTTGATGAGCCCCCAACATCGACTTACGTTATGTGTCTATTACATGTACGTGTACAAGTACATGTATGTTCAAAGACACAGGCTTAGCATACAAATACACCTAGTGCTCAATGCTGGCTACAAGGCGCATTGAGGCGAGGCGAATCGAGTTTCCTCTACAGGCGGGCTGTCTTGGGCCACATACATGTATACCTGGAGTTTTCTTCATTTTCCTCGAGTTTTTGGTTATTGGTAGTAGCATTCATGGTAGGATCCGAGAAATTTCAATACAGCTTTGCCAATCATGTTCTTAGCACCCGGGCTAGGTTCAAGTCGAGGAGAGAACTGCTATGCAGGTATATCTATATCACTGAGTACGCCTCTAGCTGCCTCGATTCATTTAGCTTGAGGTAAGGTACGAAGCACCTCGCAACTTCGTCCTCGTGGACCACCCTTGTATGAATATATACATGTAGGTCCCAGTGAAGATACCGTATACCTCGATGTAAGTACATGTAGTCTATCTTACGCAGCTAACAAACTTACATTTAATACACATGTACTTACCTGAGGCATACATGCGCACTCACGGTATGCTATGCGTCATTGTGGTAGCCACAAAGGCCACCTCACTATAGCAGACACAGTCGTGTCATTATGGGCTACATTCTATTCTATTCTTCCACTGAGTTAAGGCTGCCCACACATGCCTCAGGAACAGGCAATGATTACATGATATATGTATATGTAGTTCTTAGATGTATACATATATGTAACTTAGTAGAATTGTAACCATAGAACATACAGTGAGAATAATATTCATGTTTAGATCAGAACCTCCTCAGTACCCTCAGCGAAGATTTACGAGCCCCTAATGCCTTTGAAGAAGGGTGATATCGTACATAAATTACGACGAGCCTTTACTTCAATACCATCAAATCTTGTTCTTGTCTAGGAACACATACCCTTCCTTTCATCAGTGCATCATGCTAGCTCAATGTCATAGTTTGCCCGTGCAAGAGTAGGGTACGCACTTTATTCAGTTATAAGAATCAGTCATTAAAACGAACGCCATTCAATGAATACTAGATCCCTGAATGGGGTATCTGTTTAGGACGGGCCCTGAACGTGGTTTACACCAGCAAGGTTTCTAATTCCCGAGTCTATAACTTACCACCATAGCCTTAATTTAGGTTCTGAATACGTACACACATGCAGCTAGGTTCGTACCCAACCTCACACGGCACACAGCTTACCTTGAGTAGGGTAACAAACGCAACTATATACATGTATCTATAAATGTAGGCCCCGAACTGTAGGTACGTATATGCGATTCCTTCTAATTATACAGTAAGGTACTGTGGATAGAATCTTAACCATCTCCAACTGCCACTACCCTTCATCACATTCGTTCGGCATCACCGTGACTTAGTTCTTTCAATCGAAATTCAAAGGCAAATCCATCAACACTCTTCAACGGCTCTGAGGACTATAAACTGAATATTTCAATTCTATACCCAAACATTCAAATGGCTACATTGTATGATTTAAGGAGTCAAAAAATATCAAGTCACCAAATAAGAATGGAGACCTTTGACCAAACAGGCTCACACTTCATAATGAATGAACGTGAAGGTCAGTCGTAAAATTATTCAAGCAGTGATCCTAGAACATTCCCCACTATCCTTGTTGATTGCTAAAATAGACAATAGATCAATACTCGGTAAATTGTTCTCCTGGTGTTTATCTTTCTAGGCCTCTCGCAGTTAACGACATGAATCAAACCATATCATGCAGGATGGCCCAGAATCCGGAACCCCCTGCAAGCAATTACACAGAAGACATTGATAAACTTGACCTTGATCAAATGAATCTCACGGAGACCACGAAGCGTGACTATAATGCTAATGATGTTATCATTGCCTATAGCGCAAGTGATGCGAGAGCCTGGCATCCGTTAAGCCCCGAGCTCACCACATTATTCGAGGGTTGGACAACACTCTCCTGGGAGCTTCCATTGGATCTACCGGGATTTACTGGTGCCCTCATGCCAATTAAATTCACACCATGGATCTCTGGTGCTCACCAAAGGGAATGTATCTCCCGCGACGAACCAGAAAACATTATTCCCCTGCAGTATTCCATGGTCTTAAAGAAGCTTGAAGGTTTTCAACAACATGGTGCAGACGATGGAGAAATATTCGATGACATGGAAGCGCCAGCTAGCTTCGTAGACATTGCATTTCAGGAACTATACGAGGCAGTGAGAGCTTCATATGATATGTCTCCCGAGCTTCCTAGTGATGCAATTCTCATGTATGGCATACATCTCGCCGCCGCCGTTTGAGGGAGTAGAGTCGCGACTCAGGAGGGCTGAAATACTTCTTCTATGTTTGCACTCAAGAATCAGACCCCATGGCACACATTAGGAGGAATACATGTATCTACATGATGTTTCGGCAAATGCTAGATATACATATGTAGCTGCAGTTCCGTTGAGAAGTAAAATCAAGGGTATAATAGTACATGGGGTACTACATACTATAGATCATAATAGAAATGGCTGGAATAAATACTCTTACGTTCAGAACCTTGTTGAATAATTCTTGAGTTTCTGCAACCAGCTACTCCACCCCGTAACAATAGTTCTATAGCATTATTCGATCTATAGGCGTATATGTTTTCTATTGAATTCACTTATCATGGGAATGACTCTCCCCCAACGATGAAGTTGTTAACCTGGGACACCTTGAATTAAACAAAAAAAAAGAAAGAAAAAAAACTTGGACATCTAGGATAACACGAGTGATTTAACATGATCCAATTACTACTACCGCCAAATTATAAATACATGTAGCTGCCCTCCAGATTATCCTGCCCCTCCGAATATGATGCCCCCCCAAAATCATTAGTCACCCGAATGTAAAATCATTACTAGTTTTACTAAAAGATCGTACTAGAGGATGGTTGTCCCAAAATTCGAATATCCTGCCCTCCTACTAAGCTGCCCCCCCCCCCCCCCATCAAGCCCGGGCAGACATTTCCAATTTCTGTGGTAGTGCTCCATATGATTTGTGTGATACATGTACACATTCATTGATTATAATAAAAACTCCCAAGTTAAAATTTATAAAACATCACCTCGCAACGATTATTTCTCCCCCTACATTATTACATTAAGCTGCTCCTTCCTCCCACCTCGGTGCTTCCCTGGCCGGTGGGCATTTCTCCATTCCTCTGCCCAACGAATTCTGTGTATATGGCCTCTAGTCTCTTCCTCTCATCTGGAGCTATACTAGGGCGTGTAGAGCTAAGTGAACTCTCGACATGGTCCCAAGTGATCATGACCTCCGTTTTCCCATCCCCATCCAAGGTTTTTTCCTCTTCAGCAGCTTGGGAAGCTATATCTTCCTCGGAAGGAGTAAGATTGCGGAGACGCTGTTTCTTTTTAAGTCCCTCGAGCTATATAACAAATGGGTTAGTGCTGGTTTGGTATAACCCTGATAAAGAAACGAATACCTTTTCCATGAGAGCGAGTCGCTCCTTTAGCATTCTCTTTGCTGCCAGACCCTCTTCGACCTTGTCTCTCCCCTTCCGGCTATCTCCCCACACAAACTCTAAAAATTCTACCTCCTCTCCGCGCTCCTTCTCTTTCTCATCACTATTACCCTGCTCCTCTCTCTTCCGAACTTCCTCGCCGATCATACCCTGAACGGCCTCTAGGTGAGCGTTGTAGAGCACCGCTTGTAAATCTGCCCCAGAGAACCCTTCTGTTCTCCTGGCAAGCTCCTTAAAGTCAACAGTATGATCGATCCGTAGCATACCGTCACCTACAATGGCTTCGAAGATCTCAAGCCTATCCTGTGCGTTCGGCATATCACAGAGCAAAGACTTATCCAATCGCCCAGGACGCAAAAGGGCAGGATCAATGAGATCTGGCCGAGAGGTAGCAGCTAGGACATAAACACCATCTAACCCTTCAGCTCCATCCATCTGAGTCAACATTTGGTTGACAACACGGTCTGTGACACCAGTACTGTCGTGCCCTCTCTTTGGCGCGATAGAATCAAACTCGTCGAAAAATAGAACACAAGGCTTTGCGCCAGAGGCTCGTTCGAAGAGATCACGAACGCTTTTTTCTGAAGCACCAATATACTTGTTCAGGATCTCTGGACCCTTCACAGAGATGAAGTTAAGGCCACATTCTCCGGCCACAGCGGATGCAAGAAGTGTTTTACCACAACCGGGATAGCCGTATAGAAGTAATCCAGAACGGAGACGCAGAGGACATGATGCAAAGATTGGCGCATATTTAGTTGGCCATTCAAGTGTCTCCAGCAGGATTTTTCGAGTCTCCGTTAGTCCTCCTATATCCTTCCATCGCGCCCCAGAGGTTTGCAGCTTCACACCACGAAGTCCAGCTGGAACAAAACCTTTTAGTGCAGCGTCGAAATCGACTCGTCGAAGTACAAGGGCTTCTTGGGAAAGGCGGTTCTGGCCGGCATCAACCATGCGCACCACAGCTTCGTGCCTAGCTCGCCCAACAAGAAGTACAAGATCACCAGGCATATACCCTTCTGTCTTTGCGGCAATGTCCCTCAAATCCAAGCCTTTCTCGAGGACACCATCCTTACCGATCACGCCCTCGAGCACGATTCTTCTCCCCTCCTTACTCATTGCCTTCAAGCTTACTATTTCTCTAAATACGTGTCCGCCGATAACAAGGTTATGCATGCTCTCTTTGGCCTGACAGCTTCCGAGAACTACAACACCCCTCTTCACACCGCTTCCGCCAGAAGAAGTATACTTCTTCACTGCGGCCACTACAACCTCTGCAACCTGTCTCACACGGGAATTATCCTGATTTTCAGACTCAGAGGCGCACAGCCTGTCGAGGTCATCCAAGATTACTATGGTTTTCCCAGTCTTTCCCGCAGTCCATGCAGCTTCATTAAACCAACGCGAGACTTGTTCCTTCACTGTTCCGACCCGCTCCTCCGCCATTTTCGAGAGCGAGCCGGGGTCAATAACTCGGTGAAAGTGGGGAGAACCGGAGAGACGTTTAGCAAGGAGACGGAGAATGCTTGTCTTCCCCGACCCGTGAGCACCGGAAAGGAGAACTGAAGAGGAGGACAAAAGATTTGTGGTAATGTTATTTAGAATATCATCAACTCCTACAATCAGCGTCCCCGTTTCATCTGGTGTAAAAATAGTCTCGCTTGTCTCCTTGAGAGCAATCGGTTTAGGGACAGGGGTGCCTAGCTCTATAGGCAGCCGCTTATCAGTTGCGAGGATCCACTTGATAGCTGTTGCGGAATCGGTGCCATCAGTGGAAGAAAGTTCAATTCGCATGATACCACCAGTGGTGATAGGGGAATCTTTAACGGCAGGAAGGATCAAGTTATCCGTTATTGCACCCTCAAGAATGTACTCTCCCGGGGAGATGGCACTTTTATCCTCCTCGATCATGGCCTTAGTCCCATTTCGCTGTCTTCTTGGGCCTAGGACCTCCTGCAACCTTGCAATCGCAACTTCTTCAAGTCGTTTTGTTCCTCCTCCCCATTTCAGTCCCGCATCTTTTTCGACACCCTGGAAGGGGAAGACTTTGATCTTTGCAATGTTCTTGACCGGAATCTGTGGCGGCGCGGGTTCAATGCGGATCATATCTCCCACCTGTCCGGGTGCAAGGTGAAGAGCTGCCGACAAGAGCCTGGAGAGCGCGATGTGTGTCCCATCTGGTGCAGACGGCCATTGCTTGATCACAGCTATAAGTTTAGCTGTTGGTATGACCTCCGGGGCGGTATCCTTCTTGTCCTTTTTGTCCTTATCATCCGGCTGCTGGGCTTGCGCTTGGGAAGGATCTAATGGTGGTGCAAGGCCTGGCGGCTTAACGACCGAGACCACTACGTGTGATACCCCCCGAAGTTGGCGTGCAGAAAACATCATGGTTGGATCGAGGTAAACAGCCATACCCTTTCCGCCCTCAGCAATTTCCTCCTCTTCTTCATTATCTGTATCTACTTCCTCATCATCGTCAGTTTTGGGAATGTATCTAATTGCCGGCAATGCGACAGCTCTTAGGAAAAGCGCATTCGATGAGGCTGCTGCCCCTTCGCTCTTCTTCTTTCCCGCGGCCGTTTTTGTACTTGTTGTACTCTTCGCGCCTCTACTCTGTCTTCTCTGACGAGTTTTTGGAGCAACGACAATCTCAGCGTCGGGAGAGATTTTCGCAAATCCATTCGGAGACGAAAGCGCTGACTCGGGCTCAACCTTGGTAAGGCGGATCGACGCGGTGGATGTGGGAGAGAGATAGACACTTATCGGATGGGCGGGGGATACACAACGAATTTGGGAGATTAGGTTGAGCTCGAGGAAGTTGGCATGGAGCTCAATGATTTCCCAGTCGCTCGGAGTAAGGGGTTCAATGTGCAATGTATGGGCTGGGGGAGGGTCAAGATGCAGATGGAGGGAAACCTGGAGGTTTGTTTAGTCGGGCCCACGATAAATGCGTAGAGGATCAAGAAAGATAGGTCTAGGATGCATATTTAACAGAATTTATAAGGTATTAAGGAAGAAGGAGTACGATGTACACTAATCATGAGTGTACAAACCTGGCGGTGTAATAATAAATTGGAGTTATAGGCAATTGTAGAGGGGTATATATGTGCGGTAAACGGTGGATCAAGACATAAAGGAGTTGTCGCACCTTTGACCCTTCACTTAAGCCCACGTTCCTCGCAAAAGCCGGATCCATCTCCACCACTGCATCTTCCACTCTCCCTGCGCCTGGCTTCCTTTTACTGGACATTCCTGTCCACCCTGCATACGCACATCTCGAAGTACTCGTTGTGCCCGAGCTACTTGAGGTTGTAGTCCGGAATGAGATCTCAACAACTACATTCTGGGCGGGAGTGTTGCTGTTGGTGAGCACTGAGACGAGTGATGTAGGAAGATTGAGGAAGCAGTTCTTAAGGGGAGAGAAGGAGACAGTAGCTGGGGTTGCAGGCGGGGATGGTTTCCGTGAGGCTGCGTGAGGCATCGTTCTAAACGGGTACGAATATCAGGATATCGCTAGCTAAGGGTTTGAAGTGAATATCGAGTGATTAATTGAGGATGTGTGTCGGTCAAGGGGTGAGGAAGGGATGAGAGATGGAGAGAGCGTGTTTATTTCTATTAGTGCATGTATCAGGCAGAGCCCTCAAGCACTAACAGAACTCGGGGGTGCAGATACTGCTGAACGCTGAGGTGTCTGAGACCGAAGCCGAGGCTCAATTGGTCGGGGCGGAGATGCAGGTGCCAGATACTACACAAACCGATCCACTCTGTTGCTATGAGGAAGATCACCCTAGCAACACCGAGATCTGATAAATGGTGCACTTATCAGATCCCATCTTGATAAGGTTTCAGCTGTATCAGTTGCAGGCTCTGTATTACCGTATATAGTTCTTTAGAATGATACTAGATAGGTTTTTGTGAGGACCGCGAGGGTTTATCAAAGCGATCCTCTACAAAAAACCAAATAGGGATACTGGTAGAGTATGGTGTATGTGGGTGCATAGGCCCAGCAAGCTGCTCCTCCAAGGATATGGAGAAAAAAACCTATGTGTTGCTAGGTATATCTTCGTTTCACTGGAGTCTGAAGCCAGCTTTGATTAGCAGATTTATAGAATGCGCATGACGATGTAGTTCAGAACTCTTTCGGCTGCGCCTAAAACCAGGGGCGGGGCTTGATTCACATATTTTACCCACCTCCCAACACAGTAAATTGTTGATCCTCGCCCGTGAACGCGCGAGTAACAACGCTCAACGCGTTCTTGTCACTGGATGTCCAACAAACCTAACCCCTTCCCTTGACAACAGAACAAACCTCTTTCTGTGTTCTCTTGTGTCTTTATTATCACCGACAACCTGTGCACGATCACTCCCACTATACCAATCAATCATCTAATATTCTTGAAAGAGTCCCTGCATATACCGCAAATATGGCTCAGCTTCCGACTATGAAGCTTGATGTCGACTACGACAAGCAGCAAAGTACGCTCTCCATTCTTAATCATTGACTGAATGCTCTTCTTTCGGTCGCAATTCGCCCTCTTCTCAAACGAGGTTTTCGCTTACACTGAATAGCTGCCTTTCAGTCTTTCCTCGCGGAATTCAAAACTACCACTATCACAGAAGCCGATGCCCGTGATGCCCTGTCGAACCTGAGCATGGACGATGAGCAGGAGGACATGGATATGAATGACACTCCCGGTCGCCGGTCTACGCGATCGGGCGGTGCTAGAAGACGGGCTGGGAGGAGGCCGAGAGCTGCGGTACAGGAACCAAAGCTCAAATATATGATACAGTTGCAGGAAATTGCAAACAGGGAGCGGGACTCAATAACAATTGAACTGAATGATCTCAAAGAGGTATTTTTTGATAGATGTAGAAAGACCCACCGGTAGAGGCTAATAATGTCGGGATAGTTCGAGGAGGGGTTTGCTGCGGATGAGCCGTTGAACCTGGTTTCTTCGATAAACAAAAATTGCGCACACTACATTGAGATCTTCTCTAGAGCAATTGACAAAGTTCTTCCTCCAGAGACACTCGAAAACACGTATGACCCCATCGCCCCAAAAAAATCCCGCCTTTAAACTCAGACCACTCCTCATAATATACAATACTAATGCCCCTCAGATACAACGACGATGTTCTCGATGTCATTCTTACGCAACGTCGGAACCGCAACATCGCCGCCGCTGATTCAACTGCGGATCCTCTCTCCCTTGACGATGCCCCTCAGCTATTCCCGGCGCTTCTTACCCGTCGCTACCAGGTCTACTTCAAACCCCTTACTCCCACTGGCGATCAGGGTAGTAAGGCTATGGCTGTTCGTAATGTCCGTGGCGCCCATCTAGGTCATCTCATTACCGTCCGCGGTATCGCTACTCGTGTCTCAGACGTGAAGCCGACCGTTCTAGTTAATGCGTATACATGCGACCGCTGTGGTTCTGAAATCTTCCAAGAAATCAAGACCAAGTCCTTTGCCCCACTTGTCGATTGTCCCTCACAGGAGTGCAAGAACAATGATGCACGTGGTCAACTCTTTATGTCTACACGTGCTTCAAAGTTCCTCCCATTCCAGGAAATTCGTATCCAGGAAATGTCAGACCAGGTCCCAGTTGGTCACATCCCCCGTACTCTCACTGTTCACGCCCACGGGTCTCAAACCCGCACTGTCAACCCTGGTGAAATCGTTGACATTGCTGGGATTTTTCTCCCAACACCATACACCGGTTTCAAGGCGATCAAGGCAGGACTCCTCACAGATACCTATCTTGAGGCAATGCATGTGGAACAACATAAAAAGCAGTACGACGATATTGTTGTAGACCCCCGCACAGTCCGGCGCATTGAGGAACTTCGTGCCGCCGGTAACCTCTACGATACTCTTGCTAAGTCAATTGCGCCAGAGATTTACGGCCATGATGATGTCAAGAAGTGCCTCCTCCTCCTTCTCATTGGCGGTGCAACCAAAGAAATGGGCGACGGTATGAGAATTCGTGGTGACATCAACATCTGTCTTATGGGAGACCCTGGTGTGGCCAAATCTCAACTTTTAAAATATATCTGCAAAGTTGCTCCTCGAGGTATCTACACTACCGGCCGGGGTTCCTCGGGTGTTGGTCTCACTGCGGCTGTCATGCGTGATCCCGTCACCGATGAAATGGTGCTTGAGGGAGGAGCTCTAGTTCTTGCAGATAACGGCATCTGCTGTATCGATGAGTTTGACAAGATGGACGACTCTGATAGAACCGCGATTCACGAAGTCATGGAGCAACAGACAATCTCCATTTCAAAGGCTGGTATTACCACATCATTGAACGCGCGGACTTCTATCCTCGCTGCCGCAAATCCGTTGTATGGACGCTACAACCCCAAAATCTCACCGGTGGAGAATATAAATCTTCCCGCCGCCTTGTTGTCTCGTTTCGATATTCTGTTCTTGATCCTAGATACCCCTAACAGAGAAAGTGACGAAGAGCTAGGACGTCACGTCACCTTCGTGCACATGGAGAATCGCCATCCCGACATGAATTTTGAGCCATTAACTCCGAGCGAGATGCGGATGTACATTGCGCAAGCCAGACAAAAGCGACCAGTCATCCCAAAAGAGGTGGCAGACTATATTGTCGGTGCCTATGTCAGCATGAGGAAGAATGCCAAGAAGGCAGAGAGTGAGAACAGGTAGGCTCCCCGCCCACAACGTCCAGATGCATAACTAACAGACCCCAGACAATTCACACATGCCTCCCCACGTACTCTACTGGGTATAATTCGTCTATCCCAAGCTCTTGCGCGTCTTCGTTTTGCCGACAAAGTTGTTATTGAAGACACCGACGAGGCTCTACGCCTGATTGAAGTTTCGAAGGCATCCCTCTACGGAAAGGATGACTGGGATGAAGATAACACCGTGAGCTCTAATATCTATAACATCATCCGCTCGCTCGCTTTCCCAGGTGGCGCCGCTGGTAATGGAAATGGCGAGCTCAGTATGAGGACCGTGAGGGACCGTGTACTCGCAAAGGGATTCACGGATGATCAGCTTGCGGAAGTGGTGGATGAATATGCTGCATTGGATGTCTGGCAGGTAGCAGGTGAAGGCACAAAACTTATCTTCGTCGGGGCGGATGACGAGGAAGCAATGGATGTGGAAATGTAATTGTGAAGTATGGGTTTCGGCTGCCTATTTTTTTTTGTGAGTTTAAAAGATTTGTATGTACGATACCACTGAATATGATGTGTTAACGTTATCATCCAAGATTTGATACTACCTTTTCTTGATGTCTGGTGCAGGCAACGAGTGCTTATACTTAATCATGAAATATCACTCGGTAGAAGTGAGTTCGATAAATGTGATCTCTAACCCATTTTCAGCTACTCTGAATGATACGGAGTTTCACTTTTCAGCGCTTATGGATGGTACCACTGCTACATCTCCGGATTTCTCAACGACGCCATCAGCCTTTCTTAGGAGGCGTCAAAGAATAAAAGAATTAAGCTCTAATTCGAGGGAATATTCCGTTTGAAGGCAGGGGGGTGTGATAAGCTGCTTTCATTTATCGCAATAGAGAATTACAGAAAACATTTCTTTCATCTCCAATCCACCTTGTCGCTATCCCCAAGAGTATCCTTTTATCTTTCTTTGGAAAAGGATAACCTTTTAACCCGACCGTTCTCAAAACTTAGAGCTAGTAACTTCATTCTATCCGCCCAGCCAAAAATCAACTCCATACCTGTGGGGCAACACCCCAAGACTCGACTGGGATTTTTCAGTCCCATAGCGGAGTTATGTAAAAATTTGTTCTTGAAAGAGGTATTTCTAGTCGTGATAGATGTTTACTATCCTATAAAAGAATATGTATAGATTGGAAAAGTTTCGCTAGATCCTACATCCGGCCCTGTTCATTAATTGAATGGAGTCCAGTACATCGTGGCTCACTGGCCACACCCCCTCCACCCCTCTAAGCCCCCCAGGTGGCTAGTAGATATATGTAGATACATGTAGCTCTTGTCCCAAAACCTACAACACCTAAGCCCCACAATCACAAAACAAACGGTATTATTGATCAGTTTGAGCTTTGAAGCTGATACGTACATCCGATATCCATTGGCTAGTCTCCTATAACGATTAGAGAGCTTATATGAAAGTTGCTAGATGGTAATTGTATTTTCTAAGTAAAGTATATATTTGTTAGAAGTAGTTGCCATAAGTTCACCTGATGTCCTAGGTGGACCTTAAACCACATTTGTTCATCATATCAGATCAATTGCATCTGGCTAGGTTGTGCCGTCTTGCCATAAGATTAGTCCACGGATACAAGAGCAGCTCCCTTAGTAGGGTTCTCGAAAGGCTACTCCACATTAACGCAAACAGCCATTCTCGTCTAGGGATGCCTCAGTATTTCAATCGCTACTGACCCCAAGTCTTTCACCCATTCCTTCACTATTCATTACTTTACAAAAAAGAAGCAGTCAAGAGTGTAAGCCTCGAGGTCGAATCCCCAAATCCCATCTCCACCTACATAATTCCCCTCTACCACGGGTCGGACAGAAACGCTAATATGGAAAAAGCCGAGGTTATCTAGCAGAGAGAGATATAAATACATTCCGTCAAAGACATGGTAAAGATGAAGCGTCTATGGTTACTACAACGACTAAACTGGGGCATGAGAGGTCAATTCAGGTACAAGAAAGTCCCCGCAGACTAAGACATCATAGGCAACAGCTAAACTACCACGAATGCAATGTTTTCAATATCCAAGGCCTATTGACCATTGCCAATTCAACCCCCATGATATACTCTGATCTGTCAAGATCTGACCTCATACATTCATAACCAGCAGCCGGCTTAGCCAAAAGAACATCGATAATCCGTCCGACATTGCAAGTGGTGGGGGACCCTTGGATGAGCTACAGGCAGGCTGGTATGAGGACTCTTAAGATTAGAGTCGAATTGCACGCATCATTACCTGTTTGTTCATGATCATAAACTTGTTCTACTCCTATGGGAGATAGGTAGATTATCCTTCTTCAGCACTTGCGCAGCAGACTCCCAAAGTTCACAGTACCAATGATCGATAACACCAATCGTATGATAATCTGATCTGATTCCTCACGACTTTCACAACCTTTCCAACGTCTCCCAGACCCAATAGCCGTACCGGTGTCAACTGGAATAAGGTGGTGTATAAATACATTCCATATAGGTCAGAAAGTATGAAGAAAATGAATGTTTTCATGGGGTGAGTCTTCCTGAGAGGCTTCTGGGCTAGGCCTGGGCTTGAGTGGCGAGCTTTAAATTCACCTACTGGCCAGTACCCAAACTTAACCATCACCAAGAGGAACTCAGAAAGTATATAAGTAGTTTTCAAGCGTGTATTTCCTTGCGTATACTGAGTACCAGAAATGACCATATACAGACCTAATATCTCGAGGCAAGTCCAATGGATAATTGTTTTCGTTGCTTGTATGAAGGAGTTGCTTGTATGAAGGAGTGGGGTGCAAAGCATACGCATATATATGGTGGGGGAGGTTACGAACTTAAGGGTACCAGACCATCATGATTACGGTAAGAAAAGGCTGTGAGGGGGACCAACACTACTAACTGTACTAAACCAATATCCCTTCATCCTCAATATACTCCTTCACAACCTGTGCAAAGCCCCCATCACCCACAAACCCCAGATCCATCGCCCGCTCTATCCTAAACCTCGCCGGCCAACTGCCCACAATCCTCTGCACCGTCTCATCCTTCTGCTCCTTCACCAGCTCCACCCTCTCCTCGCCGCCCACTGCGCCCAGTGCCTCAAGCATCTCCTTCACCGTGACCGTGATCCCGGGCAGGTTGATCTGCCGCATCTCCCCCAGCTGCTCCGCCGGCACGTTTACGGCATGTAGTATATTTGACACCACGGTGCGCGGAGAGGACACCCACAGCGACATGTCGCGCGACACGGGCAGCACGGAGGGTAGGTTATTTAGCGGCTCGCGGATGATGCCGGAGACGAATGATGAGGCGGCGCCGGAGGGTGCGCCGGGACGGACCACGACCGTGGGGAAGCGGAGGGTGCGGCCATCGATGTAGCCGCGGCGGGAGTAGTCGTTGATCAGGTATTCACACAGCTATCATGCGGGGCGGGGGTATCAAATCAACGGTTTCTTCTTCAGGAACGGTAGGTAAGGTAGACAGGTTATAATACCATCTTCTGCATTCCATACGACGTTGACGGCGTGGGCATGGTGCGCTCCGTCACCTCGTCCGGGAGGGTGCCGCCAAAGACGGCGAGCGAGGAGGCGAAGACGACTTTGATGCCGGGGACGACCTGAGCACCTATAAACAACTTGTTCCTCGATTCATGCCACCTCCTCTTCATTTCTCATGAGCTCCACTCCCAACATTCCGCCAGTAGCTCCCCGCTACGACATACCTTTCTCGCGCACTCCAGCAGGCCTCGCGTGGAGTCGAAGTTCACCATCATACCACTCTCAAAGTTCTTTTCCGCCATGCCACTCATGATTCCGTGGAGGATGAAGATGACGTCGAGGTCCTTTGTCACCAGCATCTCGCGGTCTGCCTGTGTTGCCAGGTTCGACAGCACTGCTGTGACGGGCTTCTCCTCGGGTGACCGTGGCGTCTTGGGGAGGATAATGTCTGTGATTGTGATATCCGTATAGAGAGGGTCCGCAATCAGGGCTGATACGAGCTTCTGCCCGATGAAGCCGGCGGCGCCGGTGACGAGGACTTTCATGGTGGCGAATTGGGTTTTTTTTTTCGATAATGGAACGATGATGTAGGTAGGTAGATACCACATAATGGATATCATTGCTTGTTTATATTTTTTTTTTTTTTTTTTTTTTTTTCAATTCCCCGCACCACGGCGGCAGAGGTGGGTTAGGGGTTCGTGAAATCTCGAAAAAAGCACAAATTACATCATAGAAAAAAGGGTCTAAAAAAGAAAAGAAAAATGTGCTCAGGTTTCAGGTCTGCGGGAGAGTCCCTGGTTGGGGCGTGTTGAGTGGTTGGGTGAGAGAGACCTGTGGTTCAAATAAGCATCAGCGCCAGTGCAGAACCAGTAGGTGATAGGCTCCCGCTTTCTTTTTTATCTCCGTTCCCGTGCTGACATATCGGCGCGGTGTAGATCGAGCCTTGACATCTTGACAGCTATAGACTACTCGGGGCAGGCAATAAGAACCTGAAAATGCAAGCTGCAAGCATGTGCTCAATTTGGTGTAGCTTTTCGCCAGCCGCGAATCAGAGGTTGTTACCATCAAAAGTCATTTTCAGGTTCTTCTTACCTGCCCCGAGTACAGTTGGTGCGGACGCCGATGCCGCAGGTCAAGCTTGTCTTCTCACTAGAGTATTTGCTAGAGCTACTTGTGGTGCTGTTTTGCGTTTCCGTTCCTGGCCCGTCATTAGTTGCATATTTGACTCTTGCCTTTTGGGGCCAATGATTGCAAGGTTGGTTAGACTCCGCTACGCTTCTGATCCCGGAGTCGATAAGAAGCGCCTGCAGCCACAGCACTGAGGAAATTCAGCGAGTGAGGAGCTGTGATGCCGGTGTTCTCAACGGGTATTATCTACATGTCCATCCCTACTTGTGTAACGCGAGTACCTACCCCACAGTGGGGTAATGATCGCTATTACCGAGCTCCGATATAACCCAAAGCTCCCTCGGCCCCCAAGCTCAAGATCTCAGTTCCACAAAACACCAAAACCGAGAGAAAAAAGCACCTACCTCCCTCTTATCAACAATGCCCACCCAACACCCCCATCTACCCCTAACATCCACCCTCTCCACCCTCCCCCGGAGAACACCACAACCCCGCGCTCCCATATCCTCACCCTCCTCACCCCCTCCACGCCCAAACTCGTCATCCTCGACGACGATCCCACAGGAACACAGACATGCCACGACATCGCCGTCCTCACAACATTCGAGACCCCCTCCCTGCAATCCGAGCTACTCCGCCCGGCTCCAGGCTTCTTCATCCTAACCAACACCCGCGCCATGTCGCCTGCCGCGACGACAACCCTGCTGCGTAATATCCTCTCGAATCTAAGGACTGCAGCCGAAGCCGCTGATGTAAAATTTACGATTGTGCTGCGCGGGGACTCGACGCTGCGGGGCCACTTCCCGCTGGAGTGTGATGTTGTCGACGAGGTCTTTGGTGCCAGTGACGCATGGATTGTTGCACCTTTTTTCCTGCAGGGAGGGCGGTATACATTAGAGGGTGTGCACTATGTTGCAGAGCGGGATGTGATGGTGCCGGTTGGTGAGACTGCGTTTGCGCGTGATGCGACATTCGGGTTTGCGGCGAGTGAGGTGAGGGAGTGGGTTCGTGAGAAGGCGCCGGGGCGGTTCGAGGCGGAAGGCATGGTGGTGAGCCTGGGGGTGCGGGAGATACGGGAGGGCGGGGTAGAGAGGGTGGTGGAGGTATTGAGGGGCGTGCCGAGGGGCGGGGTGGTGGTCGCGGATTCGTGTGCGGAGAGTGATATGGATATTGTAGCGGCGGGGGTACTGCATGGTTTGTCTTGTCCTTTCTTTCCATAATTTCGTAGCTCATTCTCTTCCGTGATACAGCCGAATCCCAAGGCTCTAAACTCCTCTTCCGCACCGCCGCCGCATTTGTCTCTTCCCGTCTCGGCATAATCCCACAACCCCCACTCAGCGCGCACGCCGCCGGCCTGTCCACCACCCCCGGAAGCCCCGGCGCACTCATTGTTGCCGGCTCCTACGTCCCCAAGACCACTGTACAGCTCAGCAGTCTCATTACTTCACGCGGTCCGCATCTCAAAGTGCTCGAGCTCTCTGTCAACATGCTTCTCTCGTCCCCCGCGGCAGAACTTCTTTCCCGCACGGCGGAGGCGGCGAGCGTAGCTATTGCGGCAGGGCAGGACGTGCTTATCATGACGAGTCGTGAGCTCATCAAGGGCGGCGATGCAGATAGCTCATTGGAAATTGGGGGCGTTGTGGCGGCGGCGTTGGTGGATGTTGTGCGGAGGGTTACTACAAGGCCGAGGTATATTGTTGCCAAGGTGAGTTTTGATTCTGTGAGATGTGTATTAGTGATGTGTATGGTTGTATACTGATAATGGGATGACAGGGAGGTATCACGTCCTCAGACATGGCGACAAAGGCGCTGGGGATGCGTCGGGCGATGGTGCTGGGGCAAGCAGCGCCCGGAGTGCCGCTGTGGAGATGTGACGAGGAGACCTGCCTGTACAGCGGGGTGCCATACGTGGTGTTTCCAGGGAATGTGGGCGGTGACGATGCGTTGGCAAAGCTGGTGGAGGGCTGGGCAGTACAGGCGGAGGTGTAGATGATGAGGTTATTGTGGATAGATGTAGATGTAGATGTTGTAGATTGAAATGGTACATAAGATGTCACTCGGATTTTGGTGACGTACATGTAGTTGCAAGAAGGCCAAGTGCAGCGCGCGAATAACCAACTGTATTGATGATGAGGAGAAGAGGAGAACTCTCGCTCTTAAGTACAGTCTGTTTAGGCCACCTATCATAAAAGACAACATGCGGTGGTCCTGTAACCAGATTGGCCTCTTTTTATCATGACAGATACTCGCTACACAAATATAAGGTCAATGACTGCCAGACAGTTTCATTACAACACAACCTCCCAGCACCAAGCACTACTAATACAAGCGGGTGCGTTTACTTGCGCGGGCAGAGTGTACAATCAAGCGCTCTTAGATACTGAAGCCCGGCAATGTCTTGTCTCGCATAAGGCTGAATTCCCAAGCTCGGCACATACTCTGCCGACACCGAGCACCCCCCCACGCCCATGCATCTCATGCAGCTAGCCTGTACTACACCTGTACCAAACTAAATGTACATGTCCATGTATATAACCACCCTCCCACCCCACAATTCCAGGTCTTTCACTACCCCACAATTTCTCTCTCCATAATATAAAATGTCGACATCCACCAGCACAGTCCCCTCTGAGCGGCGCTTCGGCCAGTACGTGCGCCTCCGCCCCTCGGCACTCAAGGAGTACAAGGAGATACACGCAGCTGTCTGGCCCGAGGTTCTGCAGCAGATACGGGAGTGTAACATCCGTGACTGTTCGTGCATTCTCTCATATACATCTACAACTCACTGGTGATTGATGTCTAATGCAGAGAGAGCAAACGTACAGACTCGATATTCTTCGACGACGCAACAGGTATCCTGTTTGCGACCTTCAAGTACGTGGGCACCGACTATGAGGCAGACATGAACAAGATGGCGGCGAACGAGAAGGTCAGGGAGTGGTGGGATGTGACGGACCAGATGCAGGTTAGTAGTAATACCGTTCTCATGGTTTTTGGGTTTGGTTATATCTAATGGGGGTGATCGATGTAGGAGAGCCCCATTGAAGGCGCGGTTAGTAGCAAAGAGGGGCCTGGCTGGTGGAAGGCCACGGAGGAGGTGTTTTACATGAAGGAGTAGATATTGACTATTTATGCCCAAGAGCTGAATTGGATTATCGACTATTAAATACATGTAGCAATATAATAGACATCCCTCACTCACTCATTTAATTTCTCTATTTGTTATTCTGACACCGATTAGAAACCCCACTATAACAAAGCCATATACCCCGAGATGTCAACCTAAAATCTAACCAAGCTCACAAATAGCCTAAAGCTGGCGCATCCATTTAGCATCGCATTACCCGCATCTCGGCACTCTCCTACATGCATGTGTCCCTGCAATGTTCCCCACGTCCCATCCCCGCAATGTGCCGCACGTGACCGATAAACCCTAACCCATGGCCGAGAAGCCGGTTCGATCATTGACACTTCGAGTGAGATTATGGTATGCAACCCGAAGGCTATGACAATAGGTCGGATTAGGAGTGAGGGCGAGGATTTGCTAGGATGTTCTCTAGAATGTATATATAAATGTCATGGATATTTAAGGGAGACTTTGTGTCTGTGGGAAGACCGTTAGAGAAGATATGTGTTGCACAGGATGGTTTAGAAGGGCTGTGAGGACGTTTGGTCAATTGATCGATTGGTTTCAAGGCCTACAATAGTTCACAACTCCGCAAATATACTCTATACCAACTAAAAACAAGAAAGAAAAAGGAAAAAAAAAAAAAGGGAGAAAAAAACACTAGTAGAATTAATTGCTACCAGAAGAAACCACAAAACAAGCTGCTACACCCTCTCTATAATTCCTGCGCCAACGGTTTCCTCTCCCTGACCTCAAGAACAAACCTCATGTTCGCCCTAGTCGTCGGTCCCGTCCTATCCAGCACAGGCTGTACCACCTCCGTTATCTCCTTCTCCTCCTCCTCAATCTCCATCAAGATCTGTTCACCCTCTACATCCTTTCTCGCCTCCTCGGCCAAATCCGCCCCTGGTACCTCATTCTCGAGGTCATGGATATCGCCGACGCTCCCGCGTGACCCCGGGCTACGATTCGTCGTGAGGGTGTACTCGCTACGGTCGCCGGTTTTGACAGTTGGGGGGACGTACCCGGGGATGACGAGATTTGGGTCATGACGGAAGCGGTCATTGAGTCTTAAGAGAGCGTCCATGCTGATACGGCTCGGGTGCGGCATGGGCTTACGGATGCGGTGGCGGGGGGGCGAGGCGGGGATGGGCATGGTTTTTTTCCTCTCCGGTGATGGGTGTGGCAGCGACGCGGGTTACGTGGTCGAAGGCGGTGACGGCGGGCAGGCCTTTCTTAACGTGGCGCTCGAGGATTGCGAGGTCGGCGGCGGCGGCAGCGTTGTAGACAGGCGAACCGTTGCGGCGGCGATACCCGTTGTTGGGCCAGTAATAACGGATCGCCACCGGGGCGATGTAGCTGTTTCCTGGAGCGTTCTCTACGCGGAGAGTGCGGGCCGCGAGCGCGGCGGTAGTAGGGGCCGAGGGCGCCTCTTCCGATGCTCTGCGCTTGCGGCCACGCGGAGCGGAGGGGGACTCTCGTGTGTTTTCCATTGTGGGATTTGTTTGTGTGATATCGATGGTTGTTCTGGAGGGAAGAAGTGAGGTTGTTGTTGAGAAGCAGACAGCTAGATGGATGTGTATATATATACACAGATCGGTGTGTACTTCCGTAGTATGGGAGCATGGGCGTCGACAGTCTTTTTATACTTCCTGTGTTCTAGCTAGCCAGCCCAGCCCTATGCATTTGAAGGTCGGCCAATTTTCAAGCCTTAGGGCATGCTTCTAGTATTTGCAGCAAACAACCAATCGGCCAAGCCTGGGCTGGTGATCTTGCAAGAAAGTTAGCATTCCATGTCTTTCTGGTGATATGATGTAGGTAAACTCACAAATTAATACATAGAATCGTGTGAGATCTTGCTCTGACCATCAAGTTTTTTTGTCATGCATACGTATACACGTCCTTCATATCAACTGCCAGCGCCTCGAGGTCAACATTTGAGAATCGAAGCAGCTCAGAGCTCCAAACATTTTCCATAACTCCAAGGATAGAACAATTTCAGAGGTTCAAAAGCTACTTCTGCTACTCAGAGCGCTGTTTATAAAAGACCGAAGCTGTGAATTGCATTGCATGATTGCCATTACATTAAGAACAGAAGGAAACATGCCCGTTTTTAGTCAACAAAGAAATTATAAAAACACGTATCTATCAGATCTAGACACCTAAACCCGTTGTCTTGACACGGTAACAACAAGTAGCAAGAACATCAAGTTCTCGGTGCCGTACCTTGACAACTCACAACCCATCACTCGCTTTTTCATAATGCTGGATCTGGATTTAGATCAAGTTTTCAACTATTCTACCATCTCAACATGAAGTTCTCCACGAGTATAAAACACACAAACCCCGTCGTTCTCAGTATATGCCTCCCATATCATCCTTACACGCCTACCCAAGCATAACCATATATAACCTACAGCTACCCTACGTCATATACCACCCCCCCCCCCACATACCCAACCATGGCCTCCACACCCACAACCCCACTAGCCACAGTAACAACCTTCGACATACACCTCACCACCCTCCTCGAAACCCTCGCCGACCTCGACCGCGACATCGCAAACCTCAGCCACCACGCACACGCCAACCCCTCCCTCCTCATCCCCTCACCCCCACCTCCCTTTCCTCATCCACCCCATCCACTCCATCCGCCTCTCCCCCTCCACCCACCCCACCGCTCTCATCCTCCCCACCCGCGCCCCCAAATCCCTCCGCAAGGTGCAAGCCCTGCGCACCACCGCCCGCGGCATCGCAGCCCGCCTCAACGCATTCGAGCAAGACCTGCTAGCCGCAGAAAAGGGCGCAAAGGAGCTCAAGGAGAAGTATTACCGCGCTGATGAGAGTGACGGGGCGATGGTGCGGATGTTCAGGCAGGTGTTTGAGGGTTTGGAGCTCTGTAGTAGGGGCTTTGCCGAACTGAAGGGGTGGTGGGTGGGTGTTGTGAGGGAGGGGAGTGGGGCGGGGGTTTGGGCTGGTGCGCCGTTTTAGTTTGAGAGAGAGAGAGAGCTAGAGGTTATGATGTTGGGAAAAGATAAGTATTTTAGATGAGATTGTGATATGCGATGATGTGTTTTGACAGATGATTTAGAGAATTGTTTTAGAAGAATAGATTATGGCATGGAAGCGAAAGGAATAAATTGCATCAGACAGATTATTTAGTGGTGTTTGGTGTGTCGAGTGAGGATCCATGAAGCTGGTGAACGCAACGGGTTAGAGCAGCCGGAGCGGAGTAGGTGAGTGTCGGGTACGAACGACAGCCGTGACTCCTGGCCAGCGAAGAAGGACATGCAGTGAAGTGCTTTAGAAACAAATATTTTTAACGCATCGGCCAGTGCTAGTATACATGTACCCATACCTCTGTTTCGCCGAGCCCCCTCGATGGCTGGAACTCCCAATCGGGGCTATCAGTAGTGACGTGCTAAGACTAACCAACTGATAAGCTTTAAGAGGGCGCACAGCCAGTTATCAGCACACGCATGGTTTAAATGGTCGAGGGGTATGCAGTCAGCCTAACGGAGCCACCATGTCGACTACGGGGTCGGGCGTTCGACACACCTCGGCGCAGTGGAGAGCGGTAATGTGTCTGGAACCGAATGGACCGCGCATCATGCCATTTTTTTTTATTTTGTTGTAAAGCGTCTGCCAACACCCCCTGAGCTAATATACGTCATATCTACTCTAGACCAAGAGATTCCATCACCAGATATCACTCGACCCGTGTGACATTGAAGACAGGCCACACGTACATGTATTGATCAAAACCTGTACAGCTCGTGTAAGAAGAAGTGAGATTCCCAGCACACGTAAGCTGAAAAACTACATGTACATGTAGTTTATGCCTTGGGGCATAATCGACCAAGCGTTGCACAAACACGAACACGAACCCCCGCACGTACAACGAGATAAGCCATTTCCATTACCGCTAAACACAGATCTAGATATATAACCACATGAAGCACATATACCCCCTCCACAGCACAGCACAGCACAGCACAGCACAGCACAGCACAGTCCACCCCTAACCATTCACCACACTGCCACCATTCGGATGCAACGTCTGCCCACTAATAAAACTCGAGTCCGCACTGGCCAAAAACACAAAGCACGTCGCCACCTCACTCGGCTGTCCCGCCCTGCCCATAGGCGTCGAATGGAACGCGTCCAAGTCCTCACTCGTCATGGTCGACACCACCAGCGGGGTCCAGATGGGGCCCGGTGCGACGGCATTGACGCGGATGCCCTTGCCGCAGAGCTGGTTTGACAGCGAGCGCGTGAAGGCGATGATGGCGCCCTTTGTGGAGGTGTAGTCGAGCAGGTTGGGCTTGCCGATGTAGTGGTTGATGGAGCTGTTGTTGATTATCGTGTCGCCGGGGGACAGGTGCGGAAGCCTACATGATGGGAGGATTAGTACGTGCACAGGATCTCAAGGAGCCATGCAAGAGGGGAAAGGGAAACACGAACGAGTATTTCGACAGGTAAAACATCGAGTATATATTACTCCTAAACGTAAAGTCCCACTGCTCGTCCGATATATCCGCAATACTCTCCTGCGCGAGCTGCGTGCCCGCATTATTAACCAGTATATTGATGCCGCCCAGGGCCTCGACCGTCTGCGCCACAACACGCCTACAGTTCTCCACGACCGTGAGGTCCGTGGGGAGCAGGACGCACTTGCGGCCGTAGCTCTCGACAAGGCGCTTTGTCTCCTGGGCGTCACTCTCCTCGCCGGGGAGGTAGACGATTGCGGAGTCTGCGCCCTCCATGGCGTAGAGGACGGCGACGGCGCGGCCGATGCCGCTGTCGCCGCCGGTGATGAGCGCCTTTTTGTTGAGGAGCTTGCCGGCGGGCTTGTAGAGCTGGTAGCCGCCGGAGGGCGTGGGGAGCTGGTTGTAGACGGGTTGGGGGTTCATGGCGGATTCGAGGCCGGGGGCGTTTGGTGCTGGATGGGGGGCTGGTGGCCTGGGTGGTGTTAGGAATTGGGACTAGATTGTAGATGTTATGTTGGATGTGTTTCTTACCCTTTTCGAACTGGGAGTCTGAGCTGGTCAGTTTCTTTGCGATGTTCTTTGCTGCTGCCTCCATCTTGAAGTGTTGTTGCTTGTTACGACTTTGAGTGTCAATGATAGTGAAATATCGATAGCAATGCTGTCTTTGAAGCTTCCTCCACAATTCCCCCCAGGATGCTTCCCTCTTTATATCTCTCCAATTGCCCTCCTACAGGACCGTTGCGTCATTCCCAGTAATTTCATCCCGGAAAAACGTTCTTCCCTCTCCCCCGTCCAGAGGCGTCTTGGCATTCACGTCACTCTGGCGTTCGTCTGCGGTGCATCCTGGTCATGCGTGTAGATACCCATGTCGTGCTCTAATCTACGGACAGCTTTCTAATTCTGGAATAAGCTGCGCACGATCTAGGCACGTTAGAGAATACGAGATGGTGCCCATAACCTTGTTTCATGCGTACTCCTTTCCTTGGGCGGGGAACTTTTCTGCATTGAGGTGGATGTGCTGTTATCCAATTCCCCTCCTCAACTGGTAGATACTGTATGTAGACAAAGGGTGGAGGAGACATCTGCATGTAGGTAGAGTGGTGTAACTGTCATGCACCAGCCATCACTCGGTCAGTCTCCTGGCCAGTAGGAGGAGGAGGAGGAGGAGAGCAGGAGCTACATACATACATGTAGCTAGCTGGCGACCCCACCTGTGTATAGTACTGCGTATGGCAGGAGCAGCTGGAAACAAACTCTGCGTTCTGAAGATGCGCATAGAATTGGAGCTCTGAAGCACTCTGGCGATCGCGAGGTAGTCTCGGCTAAACTGGCGCGGGCAGCTGAGGAGTGGAAGTTTAAACCGGAAAAGTCGGTATGGCAGATTGATCTCTGGCTCTCAATGTCATGCCCTGACTGCTCTGCCCCGGCTGCAGCACAACCAGCTTTTTCAGCCTCATGTTTGAGGTGCCCGCTGGGCAAACCCGCAAAGCTCACGCACAGCGACAGACATGGATGGGGTCCGTGTATGATGATGTTTGTGAGTGAGTGAGTCCAGACAGACACCCGCACGCTGCACAGAGCTCTCTCCCTCCCTCCCTCCCTCCCTCTCCGTCCCCCTCCCTCCTCCTCCTCCTCCTCCTCCTCCCCCCGAACTTGCGGGACGTTAAAATCTAGAACTAGAAGCCTCGAGCTCTCCCACCCATTCTCCTTGCTCACCATCTCCCGCATTTAGTAAACAGTCCTTTTTTTTATATATATATACATCTCCCACCGTATATACCCCAACTATAGCACACACACAAATACATAACCTGCATAAGTACTCTACATAATGGACCAGGAACACACCGGCCACCGTGACCGCCGACCCCGTTTCGAGCTGTGGAGGCGGCAGCAGCAGCAACAAGATACAGCACAGCAGTCGCAGGGTTCCGGGATTGGGATTAGACGCCAGGAGCTGCGGATATCAGCTATCGGTCCACCGCGCAGCCTGCAAACACCAGCACCACCGGCCACTGCAACTCCACCTCCTCCACCTCCTCCACCTCCTCCACCTCCTCCACCTCCACCTCCTCCTCCTCCTCCTCCTCCTCCTCCTCCTCCTCAAGCTCCTCAAGCTCCTGCAGACCTCAACAGTGCCAGTGGGAGCTCCATGCAGAGGCCCCCCTTCACAGCTCCCACCTCTACCTCACACCCGTCTTTCCGGTCCCAGTCCCCCGGACGCCCCACGCCCACGCCCACGCCCACGCCCCATGAAGCACCCCCGCCAGCACCAACGCAGACCCCTGGAGCCCCCCGCAACCCCGCAACAGCAACAACAACAACAACAACAACAACCGCACAACCCCCGCCAGAGACGCTGCAGCCCACGCCCTTCCCGCACTGCCAGATCTCTCTCGGCATCGACACGTCCGGCTCCACGTCCGGCCGCGTCATCGCCTCGGAGCGCGAGTTCGTCACAAAGATCGTTCTGCAGCTCGTGCAGGGCAACGTCCAGCAGAACGTGCACGTCCTGCCCTGGTCAACCACCGCGCTGCGGCCCTGCCTCATTGCGGATCTACACCGGCTGCGGTCGGGCGGCGGTACGGACCCCGCCGTCCTGCTGCGGTCGGAGCAGCACCTGGCGGCCCTGAAGAGGAGCAATGTGTGGTTCCTGCTCACGGACGGGCAGGTTAGTAACAATGGTGTCAGCCAGCTGGCGACGACGCTGACGGCGAAGAGAATGCACGGCGTGCCGTGTGTGATTGTGATCTTTGGGACGGGCGTGAGTGCGCCGGCGAGGTGTGATATCTCGGTGGGCATCTCCCCGTTTGCGGCGGTGCCGAACTCGGCGCTGTTGTATCAGAACATCACGAGTAGGACGTGCTATGTGCTGGCGACGAAGGGCTGCTTCAATAAGCTGCTGCCGGACGGGGCGTCGCAGCCCGTGCTGGACGATGCCACGCGGTGGGCGGATCTGCCGACGATCCGGCCCGACACGGCGTTCGAGAACATTGTCGTCCCGGCGGCGCGGGAGCTTGCGCCGGGCGAGCTCGCGCTGAGTAACGATCTGACGATCGACTTCAACAATCTGTTTTCCTCGGACCTGGACGACGGCCAGGTTAATAGCTTGCTAGGGAACGAGGATCATCTCCAGGCGATCCTGCTTTCTTCGCACTCGCGCGGGCAGTTCTCGGATACGCTTACGTGGCTGGAGCGACAGAGTTCGGTCTCTGCTACGGATGCGACGAGGGATGATGCGGCGCGGTCGACTATTCGTGATATCTCTACGGCGATTGCGAACCGGCGGTCTTCCGGGCCGGAGTTTGAGAGGTTGGCTCAGGAGCTTAGAGAGACGCATAGGACAAACGCCATGCACCGCCATTCCCGCTCTCGAGTAATCGACAATGCCATCAGCTCCCTCTACGAAACCTCCAGCCGCGGCTTCCAGTCCTCCTCCCTCTCCACCTCCCGACCATCCGTCAGAGCAAGCGGGGCTCCCCCTCCCCCGGCTATTGGGGAATAAATTTCAGACACCAGCCCATCACCAGCAAACGCCCAGTCTCCGTCGCCCTCAAACCGCCGCCGCCCCCCGTGTCCAAATCCTTCAAAGGCGACTGCGGCATCTGCTACGAGAGCGACATAATCCTCACCGTCCTGCTCAAGCGGCCCCACGCCTACAACGCCGCCACCGCGCGGCGCAACGTCCGCCTCGTGTTCCCACTCTCGGCCGGCGGCGCCCCAGAGAACGACATCATCTCCACCTTCCTCGTCTGCGAGAACTGCGCCGTGTATCTCGTCGAAGCCGGCGAGACGCCGTTCCGCGAGCGGGCGACCTCCGCACTGCCGCTCGTCTCGTGGACGGAGCGGTCCTCGCAGTGGCGCGCAACGCTGCTGAAGGCGCTCGACGGCTTCACGCCGGACTCGGTCAGCGTGCTGCCGCTGCTGTTCCTCGCGATACTGGACCACACGATCCAGACGAAGGAGTGGGCCAAGGCGGACGGGTCCGAGGAGAACCGGCAGCGGCATCGGGCGCTGACGTGGTGCCGCGACATGATGCTGGAGGAGGTGAAGATGAACGGCGGCGGGACCAAGGGCGTGGTGGGCGAGTGGTGCAAGCAGATTATCAAGGCGCCCGGCGACTCTGGGCTGGTGTGGAAGTATCCGATGGATGGGTTTGTGCTGGTTGTGGAGACGGCGAAGCGGCGCGGGCTGGCGAGGGAGCTGGCGACGAAGGCGGTGTGGAAGAAGTTGCTGCATCAGGTCACGGCGCGGTATATGTTTGAGCTGGATCACGATGTGGAGGGGAAGGGCGTGACGTCGACGCTGGAGTTTGCGCGCGGGAGGGTGGCGGGGAGGGGGTGGGTGGAGGAGATGACGAGGCCGGAGTGTAGGCTGGTGGGGAGGGGGGATCTGAAGATATTGAGAAAGTTGGAGGAAGAGCTGGCGTGGGTGGAGGATGTGGCGGGGCCGGCGATGGGGAGGTGGTTGGAGTGGTTGAGAGACATGGGGCCGGGGAGGAGTACGGCGGAGGCGATTGAGGAGATCTTGGACAAGTGGGGGCATCAGGCGGCGGCGGCGTTTGAGGTGCCGGAGGAGCTGATTGGGTAGGGTCTAGCTAGAGGGCGGTGGGGAAGTGCTCGGTGGATCATGGAGTATTGCATAGCATATTCGTAAAGTGTCATTGCGAGGGATGGTTAAAGAGAGGCAGGCTCACGTTCGATAGAAACAGACTCTACATGTACAGCGTTCCATTTGTTCTTTAGATTTTGTGTTTTTATTTGTAGTTTAAGGAACTTGATGGAGTCAATAAATCACTTTACCCTAGAGGTTGTGGGCCGTGGCTGTGGCGGGGTGTTTTGTGCTGTGTCTGGATTGTAAACCTATATATCACTCTCTGTTGATAGGTTACAGTGTTTAACAAGAAGTAGATGTATTCAGCGACTTAGCCGTGGGGCTGTAGTGCTACGGTACAAAGCTGAGGGTTCCGATCGATCTAACTCTCGGGTTTTACACAGTTCCGTGTGAGTAGTGTTGAGGTGGTTTCGTGATGAAAAGAGTTGATTGATTGATTAAGTACATGAGTGATAGTTCGTGATAAGAGAAAGTAAAGAAATGACAGCGGGTGCGGGTACAGGTAAAGAACAGTCACGGAGAGCCCCCCTTTGCTAGTTCCTCCACTGGACGCTAATGACCGTCACTCCAACAAGCAGTACAGTAAATATACCTACGTGCTTAGTATTATAACATTTTTATCTACCAAAGTAAAATCATTGCAAACACTACTTGTATATATATATAGTGACGGCTATTTGATATGTATCAATCCCTAAGTACCATCCCACACAAAACCACAGCCCTCTATCGGACTAGTGGATGAGAGCGAAATCGCTACCCATACATGTAGGCTGCCGTCAATGTCTAGCCCACTTGTGCAAGTGTTCATCTAGAATCAATGTTCGACACCAAGATATCTCGAGTGATATTTCATGACCTAATTACCAGGCAAATTATGACATGTACTAGATTCACAGTATAGTTCTCTTTTTGCGCCACCACTTCTGCCAGCCGAATAGCTCATACCGGTGGCAGTGTAGTGACTTTTTTCATAATATCTTGAATTTTGTCACCTTTGTCACCTTTGTCACCTTTGTCACCCTTGACATCACCCTTGTCACACCAACTCTTTAAACTCGGGATTAGGGTTATGCAGCACCAAGAACCAGGATCCCCTCGCAGCCTGCAACGTTGCGATTTCCCCTCCCTCAAGAGCTTGCAGGCGTCCACGAACCTAGCTTCACAACTGGCAGCTACAAAACTCGTACCATTATCAACCTCAAATCAAGTTTAGCAAACCTCAAAAGGTGCCAGGAATCCTATCGCGTGATTCTATTATACAGGCTACACACAGTATGTTCAAGAATGAACAAGCTAATTAGTACGCATCCAGCTTATAGCTAACCGACCGTGCGGACGTTACTTTTCTAAAGCAATGTCGGACGAGAAGAAGACAATCCGGCGACAGTGCGCCACGATAGAGATAGCACCCGAAGGAGATGTAATTCTCGAAGTCGAGTCTCCTACGGGCACAGCAAGATTCCGAGTGCTATCCTCAGTGCTCTGTCTAGCCTCTCCCGTATTCCGTGTGATGCTGGGCCGGAACTCGAACTTCAAAGAAGCATGCGAGTTGCGGAACTCAGACAGCGCGCCCTATGTCGTACCTCTTGACGAGTCGGACCCAGGAGCTCTGGCTGTCATTCTAAATGTGTTTCATCTGCGGAACGACCATGTACCAAAAACGGTTTCGTTTGCGAACTTGTACAAGCTTGCTGTGATCTGTGATAAGTACGATTGTGCAACGGCCGTGGCGTTGTGGGTGCCGATATGGACGGGTGGATCGATATCTAGTGTTTTGCAGCCCGGGAATGGGAAGTGGTTGTTTATTGCGTGGGCGCTGAAGATTGAGCATATCTTTGCGGAGGTCTCAAAGAAAATCGTCTTGGAGGGCTTTTATTCTGACCCTAATAGCGCTCTCTTGACTACCGGAGGGTTCCCAGCTGTAGACACTGATACTCCCGAGGTTGTAGTTGGTAGGTTCCTTTCCTTTCTTTTTCTTAACGTGTCTTGGTGCTCCTTCGCTGATATTACCCTTTTCCGTCACAAGAGGAGATAATCCAGAGGAGGAAACAAACCATCAGGTCGATGCTAAACGTAGCAACATCCTTCTTACAACGATATTATCATAACCCTGGTGACAAGCCTCGATGTCGACACCTAGTCCGCTCGGATCAATGTGACATGATGATCCTCGGATCTCTAATCAAGGTCTTTCAGTCCATGAAGATCATCCCCCCAGGTTTCGGGACTCCCTACAAGCAAGAAGAGATGTGGTTGGAGAGCGTCACGTCGCTAGACGCTGCGCTACGGGGCTTCCAGCTCCATTTCCTCCAGGTTGTTCGAGATAAGCCGTGCAAGCCAAACCACTACGACAACACCAAGTGTTATATCCACGGGGCTGTGCTGAAGTGCGGAGACCACACCAAGTGTAGTTTCTTGCCCGAGTTCTATATGGGGTTGGATAGCATAAAGTCGGGAGTGCAGGGGCTGAGCTTGTATGACTTCAAGTCACGCCAGATGCCGCCCAAGGGAGAGTCACAAGGCGGGGCACCGTGGGAAACTTTTCAGTTCATGGAAATCTAAAGTGTTTTCTTAGTAGGCCGGGGGGTAATTGGACACATGTTATTTGTATTTCATTCGTTTAAGTTTCCTATGTTTGTTTGAGTATGATGTAGCAACATGTAAGCAGACCTATTGAACACAGAGAATCGTAGGCTACGAGTTGATGAATTATTCTGCTCCTATCTCTCGTTTCAACTCAAGATTCTGCTTCGGTACGATTTGAGATTCTTCGGATGCATTGTACATGAGCAAAGGCCATCCCTGTGCAAGTTATGATTTGGTCTGGAATACTAGCTAGTTGAAATTATTAGCAGCAGCATATGCAACTCTTATTGTCACCAGCTTCAAACGGCCTTATAGATCGATGGGGGAGAAGGTCGTGATTAAATCAAGGATTAATAAGAGTAATTCTTACAATTCCAACCAACCCTCGCATGTGTTTCTATGTTGTCACTTTTCTATCAGAAATTCCAAGGTTTACTGGGTACGTAGAGTACACCACACCGATTATAATAGAGGAAAGCTCCGCCCAGAGATCCAAAGAAGGGATCTTCCGAAAAGGATGGAGGAGCGGGTTATACCTTCTACATGTTCAGTAGACAAGCGTACAATATATCATGTCTTGCTTAATGACACCCGTCCTTTGCACGTGTACCTCATGTCATCCATCGACTCTACCATAGGCATACCTATATGTATCAACTTGGACGTTGAACTCAAACTCAGCGACAGCAATCAGAGATATATTTCTCCCCTGAAGATAAATGTTGGACCACCGTCGATGTCCAAGACGCGCTTTTAGTACGCGCTCTACTCTGCCGAATTGCTGGGGCCTAATACCAGAGATCAAATCTAATCTAGTCTTTGGGTCTATGATTGAGAGTTTAAGTGTGGACCACAGCCAGCTAGCCCTATTGGGCACGAGACTAGTCTTTTTATGTGCCAAAGGTATGACGTTGTAAAAACAAATTGCAGGCCGGTCAACGACAAACAAGCTTTTAATCCCAGAAACAAAATAGCCGTCTTGCCTGGGCTGATTAGCGCAAGATCTAACAGAACCCCGTGCAAGGCAAGTGCTCACAAAATACCTATCTACCGGCAGCAACAGAGCTACATATATACAACCATGACTAGGATCATCATCGTGGCCGCAGTTCTTAAACCTTTCAACCTACATCATGGGAACAGTGAAGAGTAGTTGTGACATTTCTTTTACCTTCCCTGAAGAATATCCAGGTCAACCTGCCAAGTATGTCGGGAATGATGACAACATGGGCGGCTATATATTGTTGTGATCTTATGGTAGAATTCGATATGTAAGCTCCACTGTACCGCCTCGTTTTATTTCCTCATTATACAATTACTAAAAAAATTATTAAACTTACATTTTCACAGAAGTGTGCGGATTGAGTGTGGTATACTTAGCACTAGTATTGACCGGCCCGCCGCTGGTGTTACGTGTCGCCTCCGCCCCCCGCCCCGCCCCCACCGCCACCTCACCGGAGTGATTAAGTGGAATTCGGGGAAGTCAACCCGGAACACGGTCAAAATGGTGCTTCTTATACCCTTTTGACACCAAAATTGTCTACTACTATATACGTAGGTCCAATCTATTTATTCCACTTTAATTTTGGCTCCTGGTTCTCATAGAAAAATGGCCAGTATAGGTGAAAAAAATACGGAAAGTAAAATTATATACTTTCATATCACATGCATGTTCGAGAACTTCAAAAAAATACATTGATCGTGTGTAGGAGAGGAAATAATAAAAAAAAGAAGAAAAAAGAGTGTTAAATTATTCATGAAATATCACTCGATTCAAACTGGCTTTGGAGAAAAAACCATGTGAATTTGTGTGCACACGTTCCGACACTGCATAGCGGGCCTATATACATAACCTTAAGTTATTTGGCACACTCATCGTTTATCAAAACCAATTTAATTCATTGTGTTAACTTTAGGTAAGAGTTGCACCTTCCTCTATCACACCTCGATCCCCCCATTCGTCTTCACATAAGTCTTACGCTATCGAAAGTGCCTTTTCAAGGCAAATAGAATTCTAGGGCCTCTTTTTGTCCACAAACATGTGGAGATTATTGTGCGCGGATACTAGCTACGCTTATCTGCGTTGATTCTATTATTTGGTGTTAATTTGCCCGTGTGAAGGTTGCTAACCCAAATCATCACAGGTACGTACTCGAGTCATTCCGCATCGTCGGCTGTTATTGTCTCTCATCTTCCAATTACGGCAAAAGATTACATGGGAAATAGAGGTTAGAGATAATCCAGGCCGGAAGGAAAGGCATGAGTGGGAACGTGAGCTAAATTATAACAGGAAGCATTCTAGAAGCGTTAACCGTGCAAAAATGCCCATACTCAACCATTGAATCGGCTTTCAGTCACTTATTCTCACTCGGTTTCGAGGACGCGTAATATTCGTGCGAGTCTGTTCGCGATCATGCTCGATTAGTAATCGCGCTTTCCTTCTCGGTATTAGGCACTTGGAGCATCTATCGAGTTTTTAGATTTCCATATCTTCCTGATAGTATTCGTCGGGTCCCTAGGAACGCAAGGCTCCACCCAAGCCCATAGTAGAAGGAGCCTCATCAAAGGAGCCAGAAAGCTTCAATTGAACAAGCGCTTTTTAATGAGCACCTCATTAATACACGTACCCCACATCCGATCTCAGCCTTTCGTGCAGACCTGGCACGATAATTGTGTCGAACCCACCGCAGCCACAAGGTACAACCGTTCTGAAACCACGACAATACATACCTACCGCAGTACCGCAGCTCATCTCATGCTCCCTCGTGCGTCACTTGCCACAGATCTCCAACCTAGCCCGAAAGGGAGAGCTCGAGCCAAGGGAATCGTGCTCTACCGCATCGCTTAAAGGAACGTAGTCAGAGCGGTAAAGGGTCCAAAACAAGACATTGTTTCTCGGAATTTATCGTTTCCTCGTCACCTAACACAGTCGATGTACAAGACGAACCAACCAACCAACAACAAAAAACAAACACAACCAGCAAACCTAAATAAAATGTCTTGCCTGGCGGAGCGAAATAGGTAGGGCGAATGCATTGCAACTACATGCACTCTACCTGTCATGATGATCTCCATCAACCAGTACAGAAGCTGTACCAGAGCTCCGAAAGGCTGGAGCCAGGTACCAAATGCCCTCCACTAACAGCGCCGGCAATCAGCCCGTGTGCCCAGCCCAGCAGGTACGCGTCAAAGAGAAAGAAAGACATCATTAAGCTATTCGTCAGTCTAAACCTTACCCTACTCCTACATACGCGCCGATAAAGTGGTAGGCACTCGTACGTTGAGATGAAAAGGACCCACGCAATCTCGGCCCGTATTCTAGCCGGTATTGGTAGTTGGTACCTACGCTAGCCGTTCATCATCACTAAACAGAGCAAACCTCCCGGCCCGAGTTTATATACATATCGCCGAAGTTTCTGTCCATGTTTCTATGCAGCCGCTATATGCATAAGAGATCAACTGAGTCATAACTACTTAACACTTGTCCCTTTGTTGCACAAAATGAGTCGGTCATACCGAATACTTCTGGAGGATATGTGGCGGGGAGAAATAAGTGGGGATGGGTTTTAATTCATCCCTCTTTCCACTCGACGCAGGGCAATTTTGCAGGGGTACGGCTGTTAGCGAGGGTGTTTTACCGTCATCCTGCAGCGATACCACTCGAGGCATGGGTGCTGGTTGACTGTGGGCTCTTGAGGCTAGGAGTGGGAGGTCCAATACCTACCCTAGAGCACCCTCACTCACTCACACCCTTACATGCATCTGATCAATCTTAAAAGATTTATGTACGCACAGACAAGATCTTGATAATCAGCCTGAGCTGTGTGATGTGTCGTGATCATTTGCTAGTGACTACCTTTTTGCACGTTGTTTGCTGGCACGTTTAAAGTGTGCATAGAAAACAATTAGGATACAATATGACATCAAATTTGGTCCGATAGGGCGTAGATTTTGGGCGTGCAAAGAATGAAGTGCAGGATGGAAATAGACCGCCAGTCAGATCGCCGGTGGGGCACTTGAGCGCGCAATTGATTCAGCCCCATTCAGTGCGGTCATTCGTCGTACTCATGTTTATATCATCATCATTATTGTTCTAAATGGTATTCTCCGTTCGATCTTAGAATGAGGTGAAAAAATCCTCTAAATAGAAAAGAACACTTTCACGACAGTTCACGTGGTTGTTCAGAGGTAGACTACATGTAGTTATATCGATCGCCCAGAAATATATGGGAAACCCGGTGTTCGGCAGGCAGTAGAGGCTACCACGGCTTCGGTACCTTTAAAGTTCCAATTCACAGGAATGTAGAGTAAAAGAAAGTGCTCCATATCTCCATATATGAGATTTGCGAGATATTGCACTACGATGGTGGAGATTGGGGGTGAATGTGGGCCCTCTTGACAAGTGGGGGGTCTAGTTAGCTTCTTAGCCGACTTTCGCTTCTTTGGCGAATCGAATCGATGCAAAGCGACGAAGACACAGTAACATCACATCACCTAAGCTACAGAAAGAAAGCCTCTAGTTTTTTCCTGAATTTCAGCCGTGGCAGCTCAAGAGACATGATGAAATTTTTTTTAAGGTTTTACTTTTTTGTTTCTGGCTTTGGAAGCGAGAGTGGCTTATGAGCTGTGGTTGTGTCATCTTCAAACCTGTCCAATCAGCACCGGAAACCTCATATGTATGGCGCTTATGCACCCCCAAAGATTGGACGAAGGAGAAGAAGGAGGAGGAACAAAATAAGAAAGTGGCTATCGACCCATGGGCTAGAAGTAGCCTCCTAACTAAACTACTGCAAGGTACCAACCAACCAGACCAATCAACCAATGACTAGCGGGGGCGGGGGCACTGCACAGGGTGGAATAGGTTAGATCCCTAACCACCAACGCAACGGCTAGTAGCAGTACAGTACGATATTTCACCCCTCTGGCACCCCTTTTCGCTGCACTCGTACACTGCATCGCCTGATCTGACACACAAATTAAGTTATCTCTTTCTCAGGGAGATGTCGGGGAGTTTCTTTTTCGCGTTGGCCGGTTTGTAGTAGGTGTACCTAGAGTAGGGGGAAGTTGCAGTAGCAGCGCGCCGGAAAGAAAGTTCCTTCAAACTTGATTCTAGAGCATGCAGTACTTTACGCATAGTACAAGTAGTTTTCTATATGCATACTGCAGGGGAAGGGATGGATAATCTTTCGGGTTTACTGTGGATGAGTCTTTCGTTGATTTTGCGCCGCATTTCATCTCGTTAAACCACAAGCGGACAGTGAGAAAAATCATCGCGAAGTTGTTCTTTTATCGAGGCAGGTGGTGAACGAGGAAGTAAGACACCACCGCCTCGGTTCGGTCGCTTGTGCCTGCAGTAGCGCGTACATGGTTCATCATTGAGGCGGATTTCTTTTTCTTTCAACCGGAAAAGCAACATTCCTGGTTCAGCACTCTCTGGAAATATATGTCCACGAAGTATTAATACAACTCAGGGTTGGGGGGGGGGGGGGGGGCTATACGAATGTCGAATGAAAGTGTAGTTTTCATACGCAATTATCTGAATATCGAATTGGAACAAAACAGTAAATCGTTGATCAAATCCGCCCGGTAATGACTTCATGTAGAGTGATTAACCAACCAAGTAGACGGTTCCGTTAATTGGCACTGGGGTAAGTAGTCGATAGTGGAGGATAGATGTCTCCCACTGAAGTTGCGGGTGAATAATCCATGGATACTTCAATTTCACCCCAGAAGATGAGGCCAATCCCGTCTCACAATAAGCACAATTCTCACCGAGTGACTTTCCCATTTCAGTGAGCGGGATACAGTTTTAGCACGAACAGGGACTGCATATTCTCTCCACAGGGACCGCATATGGCACACACAGGGACAGCCCCTGCCCTGTCAACGGTCTTCGCCCCCCCGGCAGGCAGGAAGCAAGCACGATGAGCTTGCACTCATTCTATCCATCCCTCCACTAGTAATGCGTGTGCAGTAGCAGAGTAGCGGCACACCCCCCTCCCCTTCCACACATCCCACGCTCTCCACTCACTACATATACGGGCCAACCTCCTCTCTCACTTTCTTCTCATCACACACCAGTCAATCTCATTTCACTTCCGCCTTTCGGTTTAACAATTCGTTTTGATTTTCAGTTCATCCAAACTACACACACTCTTTTCAAAATCATCAACGAACATCTAAAAACTTAGTTTTTATCGCTCTTTTAAACAAACCAACAACTTAATCACACAATGCAGTTCTCAATCATCGCTACCTTCTCCGGTTTGATCGCCCTTGCTGCGGCCTACACCACTCCTGTGGGTGCCGAGCCTCAGGGAAACCCCATCTCTGCTCCTGGCTTGAACCAGCAGGTTCCTATTGGATCTCCCTTCACCATCACCTGGACTGTGAGTAGAATCAATAAATGCATTGAAAGTTGATTTTGGTGATGCTTTTTCTAAACCTTATTTTCTAGCCTACCTCCGCCCCCAACACCGTGACTTTGGTTCTCATGCGCGGCCCTTCAACCAATGTGGTCCCTCTCTCCGTTATCGTTGAGAAAATCCCCAACACCGGAACCTACAGTTGGACTCCTGCTAGCGGCCTTGAAGTCGATACCACCCATTATGGAATCCAGTTGATTGACGATGTCACCGGTTTCTACCAGTACACCACCCAGTTCGGTATTGCTGCCGACCCCAACGCTGTTACTTCAAGCTCTGTACCCGCCACCACCAGCACTACCGCTGTTTCATCCTCGACCGCCCCCACTACCACTTCATCCACCACCGCCGTTGTTTCAAGCAGCAGCACTACCGTCTCTTCGTCCCTTACCGTTAAGCCCATGGACACCGTTGTGTACAGCACTGTCATTGCGACTGTCACTTCATGCCCTGCTTCGGTCTCAAACTGCCCTGGAAAGACTGTTGCCCCTGTCTCTAGCGTCCCTACCTCTGCCGTCATTGCTACTTCGTGGGCCAACAGCACCATGGCTACCGCTACCGGCACCAAGAATGCTACTGCTGTTGCCTCAACTGGATTTGCTGTTTCCACCACTGCCTCACCTTCCCAGTTCACCGGTGCTGGTGACAAGATCAGGGTTGGATGTGCTATGGGTGCCGTCTTGGTTGCCGCTCTTGGTATGTTATAGCTGTTAATATTCTGATATATGATGACAAAAAGCTAATAATTCTATGTAGCGCTTGCCATGTAAATCAGTTAATCAGTAATGAGCAAAGCTTCTTGCAATCTCGGCAGATCTTCCGGATCTTAGTTTTTACTTTTTTTTCGGGATAGATGGCGAATGCGTAGGTAGATTAGGAAAAGTAGTGATGGAAGAAAAAACTAATGAATGAAACAATATTATACCAACCAACCACGGCTTGTCTTGTTTTGTTCTAGTCTTGCATTGCTATCTTTGTGTGAGATTGGTGTTTTGGGTGTGAAAACTGACCAGGAAACCCTTCTACCATATTTTCTTTTGTCATTCTACTTTTTTTTCATAGGGGGAAACATTTTTTAACGGTAGCCAGAAACTAACTAATGAATCGGTGTTTTTGTTTTTAACTTTCTGTGCTGGTCAGCTTGAATTTTTTTGCTTTCGTTTGTAAATTTGATTTTTTTATTTCCTTTGTACCTAGCTAGCAAGTTTCATTTTTGCTTCTTTTCGTCTTTCTTCTGTTGTGCAGAGAATATTTATTTATCTACGCCCTCTTGGAGAGGCTTGCGAATTAACTTCTATTGTTTATTATTGCATTCGGTCGAAATAAACCAAATCATCCGCAAAATCCAATCTCCACACCGTAACTATGAAGCCTTGCGCTCAAAAATGACCTTCAAACCTACCTTCTAATTATGGCCTAATTTGGCCTACGATAGAACCCTGAAATAAGGAAATTTAAGGCAGTCACCCAGCGGGTGAAGTGGGGTTCGCTCCGGTGTTTCGTACAGGCCGGGATCACTAAATTGGCAAAAAAACGAGTAACATTCGGCCTTAGTTATCGCTTTGTCACACCTGGATTGGGACATAACACGATACTCGGATGGATGCGTTAGAAGGAAAAAAAAGTTCACTCAAAATCTAGCACGGGTTTAGTTATTAGAATTTTTTGCTGTGTGTGTACAGTATATAATATGTGCTTTACCGGAATCTATTATGATGACTTATTTTGTTGGTTTACCTGCTTGGTTAAATTTGCATAGCCCTCTAAGCAATTTATTCCATGCCTCCGAGCAGCATGCCCACGATACGTTCTCCATCACCCCTATTCCACCGTAATACCAAGAATAAATTGTGGAGCCGTCGTACCGCGACCGGGAGTATGGGCCCTACTCGCCGAAAACCCCCTTCCTAATTCTACGCGCAAGTAGACTAGAGTCGCTGTAGCCTGCGGTTTTCTCGCTTATGTGACTCACTGACTAACGGATTGGTTGTTGGTCGAGTGCGGGTCTGTGACTATGATGCCATTGTAGTGTGACGTCCCGCGATCTTGGTACATATTTGTGGGACGGCTTCGGTGCCGACTTGGCAAAAACAATACGAGACATGGGTGGTATTTTGGACGTGATAGATACCCTAACGTCGATTAGTTTTATTTGACATTTCTTGACTTTAAAGGGGGTGTGAAATAGTAGAGGATCCGCTTTGAGTGTTAAGCTTCTTTTTAGTTGTTCGGGGATCCGTACAAGGAAGGTGTGTAGTTGGTTCCTGACTTCTGAATGGGGAAGGGATCGAACAAGAGTTCTGCAAGTAATGGTGTTGGCATCGATTGCCGAGTCTCCCGGCATATAGATACCGTACAATATTCCCCTTTTGATGGACGTACAGTAATGATTATCAGGTACCATATGATTATGAATGTCCGGATTACTATACTACTCTTATATTTAGTCACTCAATAACGGAAAGGATGTACGATGGAAACAAGATGAGGAAGAAAATCTTTCCATTGTGTGCCGTGAATTGATTGAAAAAATCGAAAGGTTGTTCCTCGTGCCATAGGCCGATAGCAGGTACATACATGTACTAGGTAGTACCCATATTTGTGCCTCATACTTGCCTTGGGATCTCCACAAACAGCTCCCCACAAGGCTTCTTAGAACCCTGTGGTTCTGCGCTATCCCCGGTCTGCCGCGCCTAATCTGACTCACTTCCCAAAATCAAGCCTGTCCGGAACCCTCGCCTACCGATTTGAGTTCTTTTCTTTTGGGTAAAATAGCTCTGCAATTTAAGCTTCTTAGTCGGATTCATTAGCGAAGTGGGGTCCATCGGCTGTACTGCCGTTTGGATTAATAAAGAAGTCGTTGAGATGAATAATGGATGTTAGGCAATTCAGGTGAGTGATGGTTTGTGATGGTGAAGAAGTGCATCTGTCGCGAGGTCTTGGAAAGGTTGAGTGTGGGAGCAGTCTATCAGTAGAAGTGCATATTAGTTTTAGCAAACTGCAAACTTGAGGAGAAAGGGATAGTTTTAGGAGAAAACCTACCATCAGTGCCCAGTTACGCCCCAAGTAAGCAACACACCCTCCCCACCCAAAGCCATCATATTTGAACCTCTGCTAACAACTTAAACCGTTTTATCCGGGTACTCTTGGGGCCAATGTTGAGCTGGAATGGGGGACACAACTAACCGAACGAAGACTGAAAATCAGGTGTAATAATATCTCCACACATCCAGCCATCAAATGCTGGAATCAGGAGTAGTCAAGAGTGTGATGTTAAAGGGGTGGGGGCCAACTGTCGATGGTACTGCCGGAAGTCAATGGAATATTGGTGCTTTCGGTTGGACCCATGAGGGGGCTGGTTTAACGCGGTCAACAGCATCAGTAACGTGTACATCTTACATCGGGAAAGATTTCCTGGAATTATTACCAGACCTCAACCATCTTCCTTCCCCTATGTCTCTATCCATAGACCTCCAGATTCGATGGTAAATCTCGATGCTGGAGCAGATCTGTTTACGCTTGAAAATATCCTCCTGGACTTCTACTAGTCAGAGATATGTCGGAAGTTTTTTCATCCTTCCTTTCTTCCCTTCCCTCATCAACTGCCATTTCCATGCTGGTCTACTCGTAGCCAACTTACGAATGCCTGGCTTGATTAATATCTGATTGAAAGGCAAGGGAAAGGATAGTTCCTGTATAATGGGGTTGGTTGAAAGATCAATCTCCTTGGATCTAGTACGGGCTCTCTATGGGAGTGCTAAGACAGACACGAGGTTCAGAGCTTGCATGGAGGTCTACCACAATTGATAGGTTCTTAATATGGGAGGTGGGCGAGCGACTGCCTCTCCTCAATTTCAGATCTAGGGAAGCATAACTGTATCGTATCCAATGCTCAAAGATGACCTCAAAGATATAGGTTACAAGGGTCTGGCGAAAAATTCGATTCTCTCTACACCTTGTCCTACTGCTCACATACCTCAAAAGCCACACAAGGTATGGGATTAGTGGTTACTATATAGCATGTGCGTGAATTTCATTTCATCTCAAAATTTGCGAATTGGAAAAAAGCTTACGTTCCGATGAGACTTGTGGACAACAAGATTTCTAGCTCAAGTTGAGGTTTCTCCGGCGCGGCGATTATGTATTACCCCGAGCTCAGGTCCCTACCCCCCTATAACTAATAGACTCCCAGGGGTTTTTTTTTTATTTTTATTTAATTCATTAATTGACTCCCAGGCGTGGAATGCCGTCAAATCTTTATTTACGAAATACAGATAAGCACATTCTGTCTAAGGCTGGTCCGGGCGGAAGTGATCAGGGTTTTTGTTCGTTATATGTATGTTACTACGACTATGGTCGGTTCTTTGGGAGACTTATTGGACCTAGCTAGGATATAATTAATGTAAGCGTGACGTATTCATGGCTTGATCATAGAGTCTCACTCGCATACTTTTTCTGAGTATAATCACAGGGATCTCTACTCTACTGTAGGATAAAGGTTCTGAACGGTTTCAGCCGGTTATTTTGGTAGCATGGGCATTGATTTTCCAGCCAAGGCAGTGCTATGTAATAGACACCAACCCAATAAGTTTATACTATTAGAAGAAAATCCGAATAACCATGAAATTTATACTAAATGACAATTAATGGAATCACTAGCGAAGAAGTTGCTTAACCCCTGTGATTGATTTAACACTGATTTTATTTCTGTGGAAACTTCAGTAGGTATAACAGCAATGCCTGGTAGCGATTGTGCTCGCATGCTGATACCAAATGTCTATCATTCGGATAAAAGAAGCAAAGAAGGAAAAAAACATCGCTCGAGTTTGAAAGTTGAGCAGGATGAGTGCCTCTTGTTTTCTAATACAAGAAATCAAGACTGATACGTAGAGCACTGTAATTGAAGTTTTCTTGGGGTCATAACCGCAAGTAGGCTATTGTCAACAAACAAGTCCGGTCACTTTATGTGACTGAGAAAGCATTAAATAAGTGTCTTAAACTTCCCTAGTAGTTCGGGGATCCGAAACGGCTTTGGCATTGCATCATCCTATTGTATTTGTCAGATATTGTTCAGAAATGTATTTACCTGCCTGACCAGCACTCTTTACTTACCATCCCGGCCGCAGTCATTATGGACACTATGGATACTATTAGTACAACTAGATATTTATATTATCATGGATATGTTCTCACATTGTTCAGACCTGGCATTTGCACTTATGCCGATAATTGGAATATGTCCAGTTCTCCGCTGTGCCTCTAACTGTCTAATTCTTTTAGTGGCCTCAACACCCCCCATAACCGGCATCTCCATATCCATCAATACTACATCCAGTGGCTTTCCGTCTTTCTTAGCAAACCTCGATTGCATGATCTTTTCCAGGGCCTCGTTTCCATTATTTGCTGTATCAACCACACATCCTTCCATGACCAGCTGCTGTCGAAGGACCTTTTGATTGATCAAATTGTCCTCAACAACCAGAACATGATAAAGTGGGTTCTGGCTGACCTTACGTATACTGCTTTCTTCTGAGGGGTGCTGGGGTAGATCTGGATAGACGTGAATGTTTCCGGGACTGGAGTGGTGACTATTTGGGCGTTTCGATTGATAACTTCCCTGTGTACTTGAGGGTGAATTAATCGATGCTGACACAACCGGAGTTGTTGGTTTGTCGGCTCGACAGGCCTTGATATAGAACCGGAAAACACTTCCCTCGCCTTCAACGGATGATACACCAATATTTCCCTCTTGCAGTTGACATAAACGTCTGGAAATATAAAGGCCAAGGCCACTTCCACCGTAAGTGATGTGCGTCTTGGGAACTTGATTAAACCGCTGAAATAAGTTTCGTTTATTCTTCTTACTGATACCTATCCCAGTGTCCTACTTAAACGTTAATGACAAGTATTGACCAAGAGATTTTAGGGTGCTTAAAATCAAGGAAATCAATCGAAATACCTTAACAGTGATTGTCAGAAAAAGACGCTGTCCTGTCCCCCAATCTGGGGCATCCGCCTCATCTTTCTCCGGAAGCTTTTCAGTAGGCAGGTAATCAAAGTTCGACCAGTTTGTCGGGCTTTCCAATGAAGCATCAAGTAGAACACAAATCTTTTTCTCGCCTTGTTTGAGAGCGGTGAATTTAATAGCTGTAGATGTGTGAGCTCGTTGGAGATTCGGATGGGTATTGTGGAGAATAGGAACTAACCATTAGCAACTAGATTTACTAAAATTTGTGTTGTACGGCTTGGGTCTATGTTAACCCACGAGACATCCAATAAATCATAACCTTCAAGCACACGAAATTCCCAGTGAATCCCTTTCTCAGCAAATTCGGCTTCAAACATTTTCAGCCCGTTCCACACTAAATCTCTAGGATCCGTAGGGACAGGAGTTACTGTCATCAAGTTTGAATCCAATTTGCTCACAGCCAGAATATCCTCAATAATTATTCTTTGATGATTGACGCAAAGAAGGATTGTTTGAGCTGAGTCAGTTATCTGCTCAACGTCTAGTATTTGGCTTCTACCGAGTTTATGCCTATTTAACAACCCAAGAATTCCCTCTGCTGATTGTAAGACAGCAGACAGAGGATTGCGAAGTTCGTGTGATGAAATATCAATAAAGTTCTCTTGTTGTCGTTTTCTCTCAAGTGCTTGAGATGCCAACTGTTTTTGATGGCGTGCCTCTTGCACAGCTCTTCTCAAATCTTCCGTCAATAACCTCACTCTTCCGAGAGAGGTTGCAAGTTGTTCCATTAGCATAGTAAGCCACGCGAAATATTCATGGTCATATGGTCTCCTTGGATTCAGCCCCAATATAAGATATCCAAATGTCCTTGAAGGGCTAGGTTGGATAGGTATGATAGCCACATGCGTGCATGGGTCTCCAAACCCTCTGAACTCAATTTCGGAAAGTCCTTGCTTGTAATTATACGGTACCGTTGCCAGGTCTTTAACAATAACAGAGTTTGATTCCCGTGCGAGTATCATCTCGTGATAGAATAGAAATTGCTCGTCAGGATCGGCAAATCCACTTGATGACGATGTTGTGCCCGTATTTTCTTCGTCTGCCGGAGTCATACTTTCACTATGCTCTTCGGTATGTCCACATATTACCCTAGGACAAGACGACGAAGACATATCACACTGACTCGAAGCCCCCGTGAGTGTATTTCTGGAGCTACATGTGGTTTTCCCGCCAACCCTAACCTCCTCTGGAACCAACCCGCCCTTTACTTGGAGATGTTCTGGAATTCCTAAAGCTCCGGCTAGGATACAGCTTTTCTCGGAAACGACCCTATAGAGAATTGCAAACGGGCTGTCAACCTCGTTAGAACCCAGCCCTTCAAGGACTAAGTTCCAGAAATTATCGCGATCCAGATCTCGGATAAGTTCTACATTCGTCCGAATCTTGTGCAATGTTTCCATTCGGCGGTCCTGGATTACTTGAGAAGTTCTGGAATGAGCTTGCTTTAGCACACCTTCAGCGCTTCCTGATGCTCCGATTATCGGCGAGATTATAAAATTGTAGTAGCGTTCCTCCATTGGAATGTCTCCATGAACAAATATCTGCTCGTTGGTCCGTAAGGTGGTTTTTCCATCAAGTGCGGCTTGTAACATAGGCATCATATATTCCTTGAATTTAGGAAACCCAATTTCAAATGGCTGGCCGAGGGCTCCCGGGTGTTTATCACTAGCTAGTATCTTTGCTTGTGGGTTGTACACGGCAATGAGTTCTTTACCCCAGAATACCATAGCAGGATGAGTGAATGACCTTTATTTAGCGGGATGGGGATATCAGCTTTCTGCACACTGAACGACACAGGGAATGACGTACATGACAACATTTGCGATACAGCGGAGAGATACGGGCCAAGTATTTGGAAGACCGATAGGTGATTGATTCCTAAAAGTTCGAATTCATCCGACATCAGAATGTGACTTATAATCATGATTGGTTTATTGATAATTCATTAATTGGACTTATAATCAATAGATCGTGAGGAGATTCTTACCATGGGACTTTCATCAAGAAGTCCAGATGGTCATCCATTCCTTCCAGATTTTGTGTATTTTTCTGGAGGATGGCACCCCTTGTCCAGTCCATATTAGGTTTATCCCCGAGCCGTCTGTCATAGCCTTCCGATTTTACCAAGGGCAATTCAGTTATGCCAAGCGGAGTAGAGCCTCTTCTACTACTAGGGAGTGATCTCGATGACCGTCTTGAAGTGGAACTTGATGAGGCTAGTGATCCTCGAGCTGTTGGAGCTCTACTATAAACGGGAGTGATCGTTTTACTTAAGCTTGAAGCACCATCAGTCACAAGCCGAAGTGTGATATCCGATCCAGAGCTACCTTGAGGGGACTCTTCTGTAATTGACATTCGGCGGACATCTCCAATTCCCCCGCCACCATAATTCTCTAGATGATAGTCCAAAGGAACTGCTCGCTGTAGGAAGTCCGGGCCTCCGCGAGAACCCCCGTATTTGTCCTCTTCGTGGCCCCTGCAGATGCTGGCACCTTCCCCTTCTAAGTCCCCATTTACTGATTCCATAATAGGATCGACGGTCAGAACTTTCGCCCAACTGTCACCCGTGCCTTTACCGATACCGACACATCGCAACTGCCAATCATCATTCTCCAAGGTCCACTCGGTAGGACTTGGACTTCGTTTTAGCATTTCACCCATCTCCTTGGGGGATTTGAGATCAAACTTGAGCTGAGGCTTGAGGTGCTCGAACGCAAGATTTGCGAATAAGATATCGACAGTTACATCTTCAGCTTTACTGGTCTCTAGTTTTGGCTTTACCTCCATGATCACTGTTGGCCTGTCGTCCACTTGAAGGAACTCAAAACACAGATCGTTTAACTCCATCGTCGCGTTAATCGGCCTCCAGCCAGTGACCGGCTCTCTATCCCCAATGAGAGCGACGGGGTCTAAAGGAGAGGCCTGAGAGGAAGATAAAGCGGGCGGCGGAGGGGTAGGAAGGTGATGCTCAATAGGAGGAGATAGTTTAGAACTCGAAGATTCTGGATTCGGAAGAGGCAAAAATGCTACCGGAGAGGTAACCCGTGGGAACGGAAACAAGCTGCGTCTTGGAGGAAAGGCTGGCTCTACTATATCATCGGTTATGGAGCTACGCTGCGTCGTTAGAGAAGAGTTGTTGTCCCGTTTTCTCTTGATAACCTGACGGGCACGTCTCTGGAATTTTGATATCCAGGAATGGGTTTTCTTTTTTCCTTGAAGTTCCTTACTCGATGTATTAGTCGCTTCGTGTCGTGGTTTCTCTTGTTTGGCACCTACAGGAGTTATTCTGGCTCAGGAGCTTCGATGTTATTGGACGGGAAGGGATTACCATAACTTGTCCACTGAGACATGTAGGATTTGATCCCGGGCGAGGCTCGATTTGGGTCTGACATTCTGGAGGAGCGGATTGGAATAAGTTTAATGGTTTGAAAAAGACGGCAGGGGTGGAATATTGGTAGAGAAGACAGTGAATGTAACAAACAATAAAAACAGTCGAGGTTATGTGATTGTTTATGGGGTTTTTCCAATCCAAATGAAGGCTTCGTTGTCTTTGGACCAAGTCGAAGGTTCCTCTCAGCGGTAACAGAAAGAGCAGGAGCCCACCAACTGAGCCAGAATATTTCGTTGAATACGTGGCTATAACTTCTTAGATTATAAATTGTTCATAAAGTGTTTAAAGACTGTACAACCTTGTGTTCTCTCACAAAACAGATAAAAATGTTATAATCACAAACGATCACTCGGGTGTCAACGATCCTGGTTTCGAGCCGATTCGTTGATGCTGAACCCGGCCAAACCCAGATCTCCATTTTCTATTCATCAGCATTACGAAATTTCTAACTATCTTATTTAAGATTGTCGAGTGATATTAAACCGTAAGAGGCCATATACCTCTTCTCTTGAATTAAACAAAAAAAAATATATACCTCCTCTCACTTTCCAATTGGTATCAGTGCTCTAATATCATGAGGAGTTTTCTGCAATCTTGCATGTACTTCCTCGCTAACTAGAAAGCTGAAAGTTATCAGCCCCGAAGAGACCAGAGGCAGCTTTCTTTTCCGGCCTTCCGAGTCTAGCTAGATCAGGTGTATACCACGGTGGATACTTCAAGAGCTTGTTTTACGCCTTAAGCACCAGTCATTTGATTTCCTCTAAACCCCACCCACGCACCCGTGTTTTTTTTTCTCTCACTTCAGATATTCGGTTTTTAATATTGGGCTTCTATAGGTGGGCTGTTTGGACCTGACATGTCGACATGCCTTGTCGACACATGTCTACCATATTGATACCTGTCACTGCCATTATCAGATATTTCTTGACTGTATAGCCAGTTAGACTCTTTGTCAATTAAAGAGTTAAGTCACTTAACTACCTCGTCCTACCCCCCCCCCCCTTTCCCCATCATCAACACATCACTGAGTTGACAAAATTGTTTTTAACACGAGCAAGGTTTCTGGTTCGAGTGATAGTCTATGACATAACACATTCCGCCTTCGAGCGTCACCCTAAGTTTTCTTTCCAACCCAAGGCCAACACCGCACAAAACAACGCAAATCAGTAATGGCCACTTAGCCCTTCAGCCCCTCTATGCCTATCCACGTCTCAGACCGATAGCGGCCGACCCCAGAACGACGGCCCGTCCACAGGCATTCGCAGCCAACTGTGTTTCTGATCTCTTCTGCCCCCACCCTCCCTCGCTTTGCACAAGCACTGCCGGAAGAGGCGGTTCCTACCGAGAAACCCCTCATCAAGGCTATCGGTAAACTGCAAAGTACTACGAAAGTCACAACCGAAGACCTCATCCCTTAGTTATGGATAACTGTGACCTCAGTCGGTCCGCCTTACTCTGCCGCCTTCTCACTCGAACTGTCCGCCTAGGGAGAATGTCCCAGCTATCAAGAGTCCTCGTCATTGGACGGAAACACTGGACCATACAGCAGAGCTCGCCAAATGTAAAGTGTTGGGACGATGGGTGCCTAAAAGTACCCCTCGATCCCGGTTATGAGCCGACGCCCTCCGTCACCCCCAGAACAATGTGGTATGATAGGATTGGATCTCGGGAACCTACAAGATGCACGCCGCACGAGCTCAGGACAGAATGTCGAGAAGTATTGCTCCTAAAGGTTGTCATGGGGGTCTAAACTCGATAAAAGGCTGTAGGCTCAAGATCATGAATGGGTCTTGAGTTAAAAAAGCAAATCTACCATGAAGCATCCTCGCCGATTGGGGGAATTTGGCATTATAAACCACCACCACCAGGTCACCATGACGGATGCACCTCCTCCCCGACTCGGGGTCTGTTTTCTTTGCCGATCTTGACTTTTTCGCTTTCTTTCTTCCGGTCTTTTTTTATCGCTCTCTTTTTTTTTATCTCTTTCTCACTTCGCACACGTACCGATATGGTGCCGCACATCTACGTAGTAGGTATGCTTTTACCTACGTGTAGCTATTTCACGAAGAGAATACCCGAAATAGTAAAAAAAAGCATCTCTCCACCGAAATCATAAACGATCTACACTGCAGGGATGTCCCAAACCTAAGTGATGATGTATGCAAGAAGCCCAAGGCCACCGCATACCTCACTCCATACACTCCCACAACGCAAAAGGAAAAGAAAGAAAGAAAGAAAAAACCTCTTCACCAGGTAAGCCCCTCCTCCTCCCGGAAACAAACCGAAACGAAACGAAAAAAACTTCCGATCTTAATCAAGATCACCTGATACAGTTCTGCACCAACCAGCCAGCGAACAACACACCGCAGCAGACATACAGAACGTGCGCTACAGGCAGAGACCTACGCGCGCACACAAAAAAAAACTCGTTGTGTAACATCTGTAGTTTGCCCGGGCCAGACAGCCCGCACACGGCAGGCAGCAAAGCCAGACAAGCTTGCTCGGCGGCGGATCATGTGTGCTCAGCCCTATCTACGTAGCGTACTGACATCTGCATTTGCATTTGCAGGCAGATCTCCCTCGGTTATGGAAACGATTATGCAGGCGCTTTTTTTATTTTATTTTATTTTCTGGTCCGTGCGGTGCGAGCGGGGGTGGGTGTGCAGATCGCTTTAGTTTGGTTGGTGTTCGCAGTGCGCAAGACACTTCAACCCTCGTACCTCATATTGAGAACTTGATCGACATGGTCATGGGTATGGGGGTGTTATTTATGAACATGTATTTATGGGTAGATGGAGATTCATGGATGGATGGAGCGGGATGGCTGGAGTTCCGGGGTCTGTCTGAGACTTTGAAAGTTTGAGATCTTTTTTTCGTTGTGGATGCTCTTTTAGCTGCCTAGATCACTGCTCCTACATGTACTCTAAAGTCTAACGCTTTTTTCGCGGGAAGGGGAGTGGGGTAGAGGATGGCTTTGAAAACCCGGTGAAAGTGTGGAGCGGATACGGATGAACAGATAGCCATCCATTGCCGCCTCGCTGGCCGTGGATTGGATGAGTGGATGAATGAGTGCTTGACTTTGTGGCGCTGGTGGTTTGCGTGACTCATCAGACTAGTACCAGTAATAGTAGGGTGTCGTGGTTTGCACAGCCAAACGATCAGTTGCAATCTGATATGATTACAGCCACACTAGGATCGTCTCGGTAATCGTGCACAATCAATTGCTAGCACCACCACAACTCCCGCCTATCACGGACTGCCCAGCCATTTCTAGTCTGGCTAGCTAGCTGCTAACTACCCACGTCCATCCACACCCGCTCCACTCCACAACCTATCACTCGAACTCACACCTCATCTCGAAACCATTATTCCTCACAACTACCACCACCTACACACAAAGCCGAGTAGAACCCGCTACCCTACCTCACCAAAACCTCCTTTAGCCCCATCATCGGCACACTAATCACTGCAATCCCATTCACCCCCGCCTTCTCCACCGACTCCTCATCCACCTCATCTTTTTCCACGAAAGCCCACGCACACCACCCACACCCAGCGATCACAACACACAGCACCGGTGCGGCCAGCAGTGACTTCTGCATCACAACCAGCACGAGGGCATATACGCAGCACGCGACCACCGCCAGCAGTAGTACCAGTGGCAGCACTTGGTAGTGCCGCGTGCGGATTGTGTAAATGTGGTTGAAGGGGCGGATGACGAGGGTTTGGAATAATTTTTAAACGTGCTTGATTAATTTTGTTTTTTTACGGTGGCACTAGAGGGGGTGGGGCGCGGTGGGTTTTTATGGACATGGTTCCAAGTTCTACGTGTGCTTTTCATTTTGGTAATTTGGTATGGTTATGAGGTGGCCAGGTTTCAAGGTGGAGTTTGGAGATGTGATTATTTGAGCTTGAATTTGAATTTGAAGATTTGGTTTGTTTGAGGTTTGAATTTGAAAAGTAAGAACGAAATATCCCTAACCCTGTAGATGAAACAAGCGAGTGAATAACTAAGCAGCAACAGACAACGACTCTTTCAAGAAAGGAAAGACAAAGTCGTAAAGGAAAAAGAAGACAAAAAGAAAAGAAACTTGACATGTAGCCATACATGCAATCCCTACAGCGCAAGGCAAAGGCAAAAAGCGCACACTAAAGAAAGGCTTAAGAAGAGAAGGAGAAAAGAAGAAAATAACTAAAACTGTTAATGAAACTGCGCCAAACAAAATAGAAAAAAAACAAGAAAAGAAAGACGACATAAAGTACTCCCCCAAAATAACTAACTTTTAATACATCAAGAATAGAAACTGAGATCCCCTCGGCTCCCACATTCTCCGCTTTCGTTTCCCGCTTAATAAGGTCCTCCGTTTTTTTCCTTTCCTGAGTCATAGACTCTCCGGCTCCCCACGTGACCGCCCATTGAGAATGACTGTTCCCATGTTTCATCCGATCCTAAAAATAGGAAAGGTTAAACAGAACAGTACTGCTCTCCTCGAACCACGCTAATGCCAGAGAGAAAGACAATGAGTAGAAAAAATAGAAACCACGCAAGTACTAGACAGGAGAGAAAGTAAAAAGAGAGAGAAACGAGATACAAAGATTGGAGAAAAATATGGCAGGTTGTGAAAAAAAAAATGAATCCGACCGGGGGGAGCCAACAAAAAGGTTGAATCCCTGCATCCAACTGCAATTTTCTGGCTAGAAAGCGAAGCTGGCGATTGATCAAGAAAAGAAAGAAAAAAAACCGAATTTCCCTTTAAGAAATCAACAAGTAGGCCGAATTCCGATTCTTCTTGCGCGCGCCTTTCTTCTCGCTCCGTCCAGGAGATAGAGAGATAGTGGAGATATATGCGTTGCATCCGGGACCGGCCAGCCAATTCAATCATAATGATTTACAATGACTCCGAGCAAGCAAAATTGTAGCTAGCATTGTTGCCAGCCGTATTCGCCCGCCCGTCCGCCGTCCGTGAGACCCAAAAGATCCAAACCGGCCGATAGGTCGTT